TTGATTCACCACTTAATATAGAATTTAATTGTAGGATTGAAGATAATCCATTATCCAATAAAACAGAGTTAATTGTGATAGCTTTTGGTTTAATAGTATGTTCTAAAGCAGCAAATGTTATGATTTACACTAATTCTCAATGGGTTATTACTATACACAGGTTGAAAAGTGAAAAATTAGGCATCAATCAGTCACCAATCAGTCACCAATCAGGTATCTGATTGGTGACCGATTGGTGACTGATTGATGCCTGATTTTTCACTTTTCAACCTGTGATATTTGATAACTTGTACACAATGTCAGTTTCAGAGATTGAAAAATTAAAAGTTAATTATAAGATTTTATGGTTGTAGTTGTTTAAGATGATCAGAATTTACCATTTTAACATAAAATTAGTTAAGATTAAAGCGCATGGTAATAATGAAAATAATAAAAAAGTAAACAAATTAGCAAAATTAGGTATGAAAAAAGAAATTCTGATAATAGAAGATACTCTATTATTATATAATAGTACAATTTGTTGGCAGGATATGCTGGTAGAACGTAATTCTATATTAATGATAAAAGGAATTAAGGATGCTCAGTTTATAGATGAGTTCTTAGGGTTAAATAGAAATGAAATATATAAGCAACCAGAATTATTGGAATTAATAGATTGGAAAATATCCTTAAAATTAAATTGTATAGATCAACATAATACATTATTTGAGAACCATTTTTTACAATCATTTAGAATCAAAATCTGTTGTAATGAATTACCAACATGTGTAAATCTTAAAAAATGAAACTGAACATTTATGATGAAAGTTGAAAATGTAATTTTTGTGGTATAAAAGAAGAAACGATTGAACATTTATGGAGATGTGATAAAATTCAAGAAGTCGTGCAGTATATAATTAAAGGATTTAAATTATTTTTAGTGAATATAATTTTTGAAATTTCAAAAAAAGATTTAGATAGACATCAAATTGAAGGTAAAGTTGAAGCATTAGATATATGAGATCTTAATAGTTTATATGATTTTACATTTTTATTAAAAAATCAAGTGAGTCATCAATTGGTTGATTTATTGAAATTAATAAATATAATAACAGATACAAAGGTGCTGAAAAAAATGTTAAAACTAATAATTAGTAAAATAATTTTAGATTTTAAGATATTGATTTGGGAATATAGGAATGAGTTACAAGTGAAAAAAAAGAAAAGATGTAATATTAATAGTAAAATGAAAAAAATGAAGTTGAAGTATAAGAAATGTGAGAATAATAACGTTTATGTAGTAAACTTTAATGATGAGACTAATTGGAATAAATGGAATGATTTAGCATTCCATTGGGGTGGTCACTGGGTAAATTTTTAGGCAGATTTTGACAGTTACCTGAGAATTTGGGTTGTATCATCAGTTTTAATAGTAATATGATCATTTAGGTAACAGGTCAACTTTTTCTATAGAAAAGTAGTTTTGTTTCATAATGTCTAGTTTTTATATATATTTGTAATCTTATTTTAAGTTTATGTATGTAAGTAAGCGTAGTTATATTAAGACAAGATCGCATCTAAAATAAATGAATAAAAAAAAAAATAATAAATAAAAATAATAATAAAAAGAAAAAAAATTAAATTAATATATATTTGGTAATTTGCAAAATACATATTATAGAAAAATCTATTGTATTAAGTTTATTATATACATTTTGCAGATTAATATTTAAAATTAAAGAGTAAAATAATTTTTATTATTATTATTGATTAAGTTTACATATAGATTAGGTAAAATACAGTCAACTTTTTCTATAACAAAATTTGATATAATAAATTATATGATATAATTATATAAAGTTAATAGAATTTGTTAAAATACTCTTAATATAATAAACTAATCAATTAAAATTTTCAGATTCTTCATTATAAAATTATAATATTTATTATAGGAAAAGTTGACTGTATTTTTTTGAAAATAATAAATAATTTACTAATAATTTATATGACTATATACAGTCCCCGGCGAAAAGAATGGTGGTGCGAATATCATTTGTTATTTTGGATATGAGATCGGAATTTTCCTATTTAAATTAAAACTTATAATACCCAATGGGATTTTTAGAATACTATTTTAAAAAGCAATAAAAAAAATGGAAATTTTATTATTGTTTTTACGCCTATTTTACCTTCTAAAAAACAAAGAAATTATAAATTTAATAGAAATCAGAGAATAATAATTTGCCATGAATTTTTTTAAAATGCACAAAATCCTACATAATAATAAATTCCATTTTTTTTTAAAAAAAAACTACTTACTTTTAACTGCCAAATATTACAATTGCATTTTGTTATATTACATTACCACAGAGAAATACTACCGATAATTTTTACATTAAAATTTAATTTGATATGAAAGTTTGAAATAAAAAGTTTAAACTTCATTTTCTCATCAACCAAAGCTTGTATTGAAACAAAATTACAATTATTAGATTCCTTGCAATTACGAAATTTAAATAATGCTCTTTTATTATATTATTGAGTTTTTATATTGCTTATGAAAAATGATTATCTTTATGCAACATAAAAATTCATCATACTCACTATTATACTTAAACTAGCACATTACACAGATGCCACACAGGAATTTTAAGACCACCATTCGAACCACATAGTCAAGAGGAATCCAATGGTGGTAATTTTGTCTCAATCTGACCTCTGGATGGCAAGAAAGTTAAGAAAATATTAAAATATCATAATAAAAGAACGCTAGTTAAGAGTGCGAATAGTACACAATAATAAATTGAAGCATTTATTGACACGGAAGATGATCATATCAAATATTAGTTAAATAATGAAATATATGTATTTTCTGTTTCTCTTTCAGAAAATAAAAAAAAAATTCACATTTTACTATAAATTGCATTTATGATATCAAAAAAACTGACCGCCATTCTTTTCGCCAGGGTCTGTAAATTTTACTTCAATAATATTCTATATAAATAAGTTTTTAAAAAAAATTTAATCAAATTTAATTTGATAATTATAAAATTTTATTTTTAATAAAAGTATATTTTTTTTAAAAAAAGATTTAATATATATAATTAATTTTTTTATAATTATTTTAAATATAATTATATTTTTTTTCTTATAAATATATTTATATGAGTTTAAAGTTAAAAATTAAAATATTATTATTTAGTTAAATTTTAATTAAATTTTTTTTTATATGTAATAAATAGATAATTTATTATTATATAATATTTAAAATATATAGAAAATTTATATACATATGGAAGTTGATCTAGAAAAATCAAAGTAAAAGAATTTTTTGGTTAAAATTTAAAAATTGTATTTTAATTTAGTTATATCAAAAGGATAAATTGTAACTAAGACAAAAGAATTTTTTAAAAAATTTCAAGAAACTGCTTATAACTTAAAATTTTGTCTATGAAACTGTCTTAAATACATTAAGTAAAAGTTTTCCAATTAAATTTTGCATATAAAAATTTTATTTGTGAAACACATATTAAATTTATTATTAAAAAAAAATAAAAAAGGATGTTACAAATAAGATATGTAACAGGCTGTTACAAATACATTTTTTCATATCAAAAAGTATAATGCAATAAAAATCTCAATTTTGAAAAAAAATTCTCTAACTTGATCTTTCCTATATATAGATTTGCATTACTTATTACTTAGTAAAAGCCATATGGTCTTTAACAAAACTTTAATAAAAATTTAATATAATGATAATATTTCATACTTTCAAAAGGAATGTTTTATGTATACATAAAATTAATTTCTATAAAAAGTTACTGCTTCCAGTAAAAAAAAATAATACTTTACTTTTTTGCTATATGAAAAGAATAAGAAAATTTTTAATATTATATTATATATGCAATATATTTTTTAATAAAAAAATTTTAATAAAATTTACCTTTTATTATATATATTATATATTCTTTTTAAAACCCATTTACTTACAAATATACTTAATCTTTTTAAAAGAGTATGAAATAACTCAAAATATTCCTCCGACTGATAGTAGTCCTAAATTATTTTAGGCGGGCTGTCCTATTTTGGCAGAAAATCAGTGTAATACTTGTGTAATATAACGAATTGTGCTTCCTGTTCCTGGGAATTTTTTTGTAAATATTTAAACATTTTTTCTGCACTCAAATGTTTTTTATGCAATCAATCACATGGTAAATCTTTAATTATTTTTATTTATTTATTTATTTATTAAATTTTTCTTTTATTTTATTTTTATTAAACACTTTCAAAGCACTAAAAATATCTCTATACTTATCAAATAATTTTTATAAAGAAATTTTCCTTTTTTTATAAAATTTATAATATTTTTTTTTTATTTTTATTGCTGAATAATTCGACATTTGCATAATTGATTATCCTAAATGCCGCATAAATGCATAAAAACTAACTGTTAAGATTGAGATCATCTCTTCTTATCAGTTTAATGTATCATACATATATATAAGAAATCAGAGCGACATTGGATCAGGACCCACGCTAATTGAATCCCGATCCAGATTTTCAATTGATCAATAAATACAAATATTCCCACGTATTACATCAAACAAATAAACTTTTATTGATTTTTTTATATATTGATTATTCTATAAACTTTATTTTATATTTATTGCATAAAAAAAAAGACATGCCTTTTTTTTTTATTTATATATTGTTAGTTAAAATAAATTTCGGTGAGAATCATCATTTTACTCCATATGGCAAAATAAAAAAATGTGTTTTCTTTTGCTTTTTTTCCGAAGATGGGAAAAACACCCCGGGACCTCATTATTCTAATTTAGTTTTAGTAAATGAACACTATATTTTGAATTAACGTTTTCTTTTTGATCAGCTGTTTACAAAAGAATAATGGGTTATATAAATATATCCATCACAATGATATCACTTTACTTGAAATATTTGAAAACGTATAAATTCACACTGAATTCGTCTAGATTTCCAACTTTTTCTCATTTCATTTTCCCCTTTTTTTTCCTTTTCTTTTTTTTTTTTTTAATATATTAATATATATATACCGAAACTTAATACATTGTCACTATGCCACAACAAAAAAGAAAAGCCTCAACAATTGCTTCAGCCAAAATTGCCGAGGACGCCGGTAGTGGTAGAAAACGTAAATCCGATGCTAAAGAAGAACATCATAAGGAAACAGATAAGGGTAAAGGTGATGTAGAAACTGAACAAAATGTATCCGATGATAAAAAAGTTAATGAAGCTCCTGAAAATAAGCGTCGTAAGAAACAACCTGTTGCTCAAGATATTCGTGAAGACAACGGTACTAATGGAAATGAGCCACCCAGTGAACATGATCAAATGTTAATTGATGAGTATGATAAACATAACGGTAAAAGCGAACAGGCCATTGACAAAGAAGTTAATAAAGTCCAGACCGAATTGAGAAAGGAATTAGAGAAGAATATGGCTCAGAATACTGTTGAGAAGGGTCACATTTGTTTCTTTTATAGACCAAAGGTAAAAAGAGCAAGATACTTTAAATCACGTGAACTTAGTATTCATGTGATATTTAACTCTTTTTTTTTAGGTTGGTACCGAAGAGGTACATAACTCTGATGATGTTCAAAGAAGTTATATAGTACTTATACCATATATGGTGAGACCGTCGGTATCCGAAGAACCCGTGCTTAGCTGTTTTCAACAAGCCAATGATGATAAAAAACCTGAATCTGACAAGCCTATTCCTGGTAAAATTCGTATAATTACGATTGGCAAGAAAAAACTTCCTGAAATTAAGTTTCATGTAAGATCTTGGGCCTATGTGGTAAGTATTATACAGAATATTAAATTTATAAATATTATTATTTAAACAATTATAATAACTTTTTTTTTTACTTTAGGATAAAGCTTTTACTGATTTAGATGAAATAAAAGAATTCGTGAGCGGGAGAAAATACCAAACTAAAACTCGAGGCGAGAGATCACTTGGTTCGTGCAGATTATTGGGAAAGGGTGTGTATAACATCGTTGAACACAAAGGACATACACATTTAGCGTATGTTTTGGAATTTCCCGAGGAACCAACTGAGGTTCAAGATGATTTTAACATTAAACGTGAAGGAAGCTATGTAATTAGTGTAAAGGTAATAAATCTCATTGTTTATTTTTATTTAAATATATAATTGTCAAGGTGAATCTAATATTTTATAAATATCTTTAAAGAATCCTGAAACTACAAGTCCACCAAAAACAGGACTTCCAGAATACGAAAAAGTGACTTATCCAGCTCATCTTAAAGAAAAATTTGCTGGTCGGCGATTCCTTTCTTTATCTACCACTGAATTTATGGATTACGATGGAGCCGAATTATTGCTTATTGGTGCAAAAGACGAAATTGCGGAAGAATTGGGAGAAGCCGGTGAAGAACTTGAAGAATTATCAGATTTTGAAACTAAAAAAATCACACCTTTAACAGCTGAAGATGTTATCTTTAAAGAGTTAAATTTAGAAAGAGTTGTCTTGCCCTCTGAACCACTTCACGGTTTATGGAAATAAATTTGAACTTAGCTATGTTACTAATTTGCTGATATCACATTTGATCGCGTTATTGATTTTGATGTTAATATACAGTTTATATTAAAAAGTAAATAAAATCAATTCTTTGTAACTTTAAAATTGTGATAAAGTTGGTCTGTGCGATGTCTGAGTTATAAGAATGTAAAGCCAAAAATGTTAAAGCGCGGTTTTAACAGCAGGATTTTTTTACGCTATATTTATTTTGGCGTCTTTGTAATACGATAAAAACTGAAAGAAGTTCAATTGATTTAGTTGATTTTTATTCTAGTTACTTTCTCGTTTCTTTAAAAATGCTTTCCAAGAGCACACCAGCAACCGCTTCCATGCGTAAAAAAGATATATTCTCTCAGTTTATAGATGTATTTTCATATGAAACTTTTATTCTGCATTACAAAGGTACAGTATTGCTAAACGTACTTGTACAAGTCATAGCATTTTCAGCATACTCGTTGTGGTATGTTATATTCGCGGGACATGGGTTTGCACCAGTATTTAGTAATTCACTTATACCTATATTAACCATCGTAACTGCTGGTATGATTGGTTTGAGAACTAATAGTAGTTATGATAGATTTTGGGAAGGAAGAAAATTATGGAGTGGTTTAGTGGCTAATATTAGGAATGCTACTAGAATACTTTGGTTTAGTGTAGCTAAAGATGATAATGACGGTGAAGGAGAAGCAAATGATAATGAAGAAATAAAACAAGCAATTCGATTATTTATTGCGCTTGCTATAGCTATTAAACATAGACTTCGTGAGGAAAACGGAGTGGGGTATTTAGATTTAAAAAATTTAATACCTTATGCCTATAGAAAATTCGAAGAAAAACATGAATATGTTTTAGAAGAACATGAATCACAAAATTCTCATTCTTCTGAAGCTGTTATAAGCGAGAAAAGGAATATGAATATAAGCGATAATATAAAAAAATATTACGAAACTCGTAATATACCTATTGATATTACTCATATGATATATAATTATATAAACATGTTTAAAAAACAGGATAAATTGGATTCTAGCACTTTTAATACTATTAATTCTTTAATTCATTCTATGACCGAAATATACACTGGGTTTGAAAGAATTTTTACCACACCAATTCCTCTCGCTTATTCTGTTCATTTAAAAGTAAGTTATATATACTTTTTTTAATATTTGAAATTTCTTTTTTCTTTTATTCTCATATAATTTCTTTTTTGTATATTAGCAAATGATAACATTATATATCTTGGCATTACCACCGCAATTATATGAGAAATTAGGATGGTATACAGTTCCTATAACTGCTATAGCTACATTCACATTCTTCGGTGTTGATGCTATTGGCAGTGAGATTGAGAATCCTTTTGGTTATGATATTAACGTAAGTTATAAGAATTAACTGTTCGAAATTTTCTTTTTCTACTCGAAACCTTTCGATACATTTTTTTTTTAACATTTAGGATTTACCCGTTGATGATTATTGTTCAAATCTAAGAAAAGAAATTGAAAGTTTATTTGAAGAACGTCCTTTAGATCCATGTCAATGGAATAAGAAAACTGAATAAATAAATTTTATTTTTTTCTACTGGATTTACCATTTAACGACTGGTATAAAAGACAAATCAGCTTGGCAGATATATAAAAGTTTTTTTTTTTGGCTTAAATTGTAATGGCTCGATAAAAGGTCCAAAGATTCGTAATATTTATTATCATCGGATAAGTATTCTTTATTTTTTAAACTTTTAAATATTATGAAAATGATAATCATGTATTATAATGTATAATTAAAAATAACAATCCATAGCATAATCGTCATTTTCATCTTCAATCATATCCGTTTCAGTCATCATTTTTGTAGTGACGTTCTCCAAAGCTTCTTTATATAAATGTTCAACATCTATAGTTGCTTCAAGACGTTCAAAATCGATCATACAAATGTTTTGATAAAAATTATAATACTTTTGTTTCAATGAGGTTGATTCGTCAATTAATTGTTTGTGTGGAATTTGAGAACAACTGATAATCGTAGCAAACGGTGACGGTAGTAGTCCTCGAATTGTTGGTAATTCTCGATATGGGATTATCCTTTCAAGATAATGTTTAAGTCGTTTAAGTATTGCAAGTACTTCACTACGAACTAATCGACTCGAATCTTCTGCCTAAATAATATATAAAACAAATTGAATAATTTATTCTAATTTGTAAATAGATAAATTAATTTTCATTGACTATACGTACAGCAGCGACAAGTAATTTATCTCCATCCAGCCAATAAAACCAAGAAGAATCTTGACCTATCAGTAAACTATTGCCACTTATATCTTTATTATGTTTTGTTTTCTTTTGTCCGTAATTTAATCGATCTTGTTCACAATGATCCCATACAGATGCCAGAAATTGACAGCCGTTAATTCGAACATAAAAATCTGGATCATCCATAATTTTATCCATTATATTTGGACTAATAGTTATTAAAAAAAATTAGGTTTTAACCAAAAAAAAAGAAAAAAAATCCTTTTCAAAATAATACATACTTCATAATTTCTGCATTACGATCGTCCAACAAAATTGTGCCGCATTCACGTTCAACAATGAGACATGTCATTAACTCCATCACAGCTCTTCGTACGAAAGCTTCAGAATCTCTCATCATAAAAGGTAGCTTTAGTGCAATATCTTCTTGCAATTGTCCAGATACAATATACTGCCAGCCTTTTGAGTTTCTAATAATTGTCTATGTTTTAAATTTTTAAACAATTAAATCAGCATAAAAAGCATAAATATGTTACCATCAAATAAATTAATAAAAAATTGCCTTAATTGCTTTCAAACATGAAGCACGAACGTATGGTTCTTCGTCATTAATCTTTGCAAACACAATATTAAGTAAATCAAATTTTATAATAAAATTCACCCCAGAACCAACATTTGACGACTAAATTACTGAAGGTAAGTAATATCAATATATATAAAAAAAACATTATGGGTGTAAACTTCAAACCTTATCAAATAATCCACCTATAAATTCTAAAATTGAATCACGAATATCCCAACGCAAATCACAAGCTCTAAATATTAGGACGTCAGCCCATTCCTTTGCATATTTACTGTATAAAATATATGTTCCCATAACGTTTGCACAAAGCAATTTTTCCATAGTTTCAAGTAATAAAACCATCCCACGACATTCTATTTTTGAATCTAAAGCTAAAAATTGAATTGCTTGTAATGTCTATTACGATAACGAAAGAGTTATATATAATTTCATGGTAAATATTAAAGTAGATTAGAGAATCAATTAATTTACAGGTACCTTATTCACGATTTCTTGATCGGTTATTTTATTATAGTCTATTTTAGTGAAAAGTACAACGGGTATTATACTAAGTGCTTCTTTCATAATACGCTGATCTGTATTAAACTCTGGCATAAACAAAATATCTAGTATCATGCATATTGATGATGTGTTCTAAAGAAAAAAGAAGAATTTTTTTATTTGATAAATATACAATCGTTTCACAAATTGCATTAAACTTTAGATACTTTACCGCAACTGCAGCAGCATTTTTTTGTGAAATAACGCGAATTGTATGCAATATGTTGAGAATCAATAATTTCCGGCCAGCAAAATTTCGTTTTGTTTGGAAAAGTTTCTTTAACTGTATACAATAATGAATGCTCACGTGAATATTTTATTTTACTATAATATATTATTACAATTTAATGTACCTTTTCAAATGTACCATTCTCAAATATGACTTCGAAATGCACATAATTGTGCCGAAGATATTCAAATTTTTCAGGATTTTCTATATTTTGTTGATTTGTTGCAAAACCAAGCAAAAATATCAATAAATCCATAAAGACTGATGCTATTATAATTTTTCCTTTAGAAACGCGTTCAACTAATTTTATGGAAGACTCAAGTACATTGACTGCCATTGTAATCATTTCAAAACTAGAGTCAGTATTCCACAACGGGAAAACGAAATCATTTATGATATAATTCAAAGCTATATAATCAATGTAATATAAAAGAATATTAGGATCATGAATAAAAAATTTAAAAAGGAACATCATGTTTCGAAAAATTTCATACTTTCTGTGACAGAGTCTTTAGTATCTAAAGATCCTGATCTCTTAAATAAAGAAATCGGATCAGGAACCCAATCTAGCACTATGCACAAAATGTCGTTTGCTCTTGCTCTTATATTTCTATCTGGATCAGTTAACAAAACATTCAACCTGTTCAACTAAAACCAATTGAAACAATAATATCTTTAACATAAATGAAGACATAATATACATAATGTTTTATTTTAAAAAAAATCTTCATTTACCAGATGCCCTTGTTTTATAAATTCGATGGCATTGTTTGTCCGTGAATTTACTAATTCCCAAATTATCTGCAAAGCTTCCAAACGACGCCTTATATCAACAGATGAATCAAACGCAAATTGATTTATTTTATTGAAAAGATCAAGTGAAGTTATTAAAGAATCCATAAGGGCATCCTGTGTTTCAGTATTTTTCCAATTCGTAGTTAAAGAGAGTTTTGCGAATAATGAACAATTGTTGATTATAGTTAAGAGTAGCTTAGACGCTGTAACTGTTACCTTTAATCAAACGTCCAAACCATCAATAATTATATTTATTTATTTTTAACATACAAATATAAAATAATGAAATTTACATACATATGTACTAGAATCATCGAAACATTTTGCTACGATTTGATGGCTTTTATTTGATTCGAGAAACCTTCAATTGATTTCGTATATTTGTTAAATAATAATCTATTACACAAATTGCACGAAAAGTTCTTAATGAAATACCATTTAGCGCCAAGGTTATAAATTACTATTTGTTCTAAAGCCTCAATACATGAAAGACGCATCAAAGCTTCTTCGTTAAATACATTGTCTAAAATAAAATGAAGTATACCCATATAGTTTGTATGTAGCTGAGAAAACAATGGAGCATGATGCCTATCATCATTGGCCAAAAGACGCGCAAGAAAACGAATTGATAATGCCATAATCCTGTAATCTTCGTGCACTCGCATGATGCAAGACTATAGAAGTTCACTAATTTATTAAAAAGAAATAAAAACATTATAATTGAAGTCTTTATTTTGATAATTACACACACGTATTATATCCAGGATGTCCCATTCAATGAATTTGACCACTGTTTTTGGACCTTGCGACGCGTATTCTGATAAGTATGATAACACTTTTTCATGAATTGTGTCGTCCACTATGTCTTTAGACATATGTGGCAAAGATTTCACAATATTTTGAAGTTTTTCCATTATGAAGTTAGTAATTTGTGTTGAATTCAAAAATATATAAGTACAATTATTCACTGTAAAAAAAAAAAAAATTGAATTTTTCCGCGCATTTTTATGTACGACAATTATATAAAAATTGTGATCGGCATAAAAAAATTTTTCCTCCTCCTTCGTCTCCTCTTTGTAGGATAAGTATAATAAAAAGTCAGCCAAAATGGGTCGTATGCACGCTCCCGGTAAAGGTATTTCTGATTCTGCTCTTCCGTACCGACGGACTCAACCTACTTGGTTAAAGACTACAGCCGAAGACGTACGTGAACAAATTTTCAAATTTGCAAAAAAGGGTATGACACCTTCACAAATTGGTGTTCAACTCAGAGATTCTCACGGTATCGCACAAGTGAAGAGCGTTACCGGGAATAAGATTCTTCGTATATTGAAATCAAATGGTACGAATTTAATATTTTTAATTTAATTCAAAAAAAAAGAAAAAAAAAATATTTTTTTTTTCTTTAAAAAATAAGAATTCCATCCATCTAATTCCTTCAACATTTAAGGATTGGCACCTGAAATTCCTGAAGATTTATATCATTTAATCAAGAAAGCTGTTGCTGTTCGTAAACACTTAGAACGTAATCGTAAAGATAAAGACGCCAAATTTAGATTGATCTTGATTGAATCTAGAATTCATCGTCTTGCCAGATACTACAAGAAAGCTGGTCAATTGGCTCCAAACTGGAAATAGTATCCTTAGCAGTTATAATGGTTATAATTTATAAATGATCTTGATTTCGTAAACAAGAAATATTTTCTTTCTGCATTCTATTCTACATGGTATTATTATACCTTAACTTGTTTTTTTACAGCGAATCTTCAACTGCAAGCGCCTTGGTTGCTTAAGTATATTGAGTATTTTATTTTTTTTTTATTATCAGACTTATAATTCAAAATGAAAAAATTATTTTAAGGATTAGATCTAAAATTCTTACTTTATTAAAATTAATTAATATTCTACGATTATTCTTTAAAAAAATATTTATGTTGTATGATTGTTTTTATTGAGAATTTGTAATGATATTCGATCGCGTGCTTTGTGGATAATTGTCTTTTCTATTCTTATTTGAGACATGGGATATGATGAACAAAATAATACTGAAACTTTATGTTTAATGAAGTTATCAAATATTAAATATTATGTATTCACACTGTCTGATCTCAGTTTCAAAAAAGAATTGATAAGTCGAAGCAAAGTCATTTTGAGTTGAATGGAGGACTTTTTTTTAAAGAATTATTTTAAAGAATCACTGTTAAGAATTTTATAATATAAAAAATTTTAATTATATACAAATGAATCTTGCACGTGTAATAAGTCATCAATATTTATGCGCGTCTAAATTCAGATTTTATCTCCGAAATCCCAACGGGAACACCACCCTTTGAATATAAATAAGTTTAAACATCATAATTTAAATAAAGTAAAAACAGATGGAAAGTACCTTTTCATCATATTCGGCCCAATCACCTTCAGTAAGATCAATATCTTCGAATACAGTTCCTGATTTGATACCTACAGCTTTAAAACCAGCCTGATAAGTTAAATCGTGAAATTGTGTAACACGTGACCAATAACAAAAAAAATTTTTTTTTAGTAAGTTGCGTCGACTCGAATTAAAATTTTAAACACAATAATCATATATCTTTACTCTAGGTTCAAAATCGATTAATTCTATTCCTCTGCATTCAATGATTGCCATTTTAGCAAAACTTCCATTATTTTCAATAGTATAAGGCTTAATTGGAGATGTGTCAAATTCTACAAATGTCAAAATTATATGATTATAGTGTTAAATTATTATAGTAACAAATAATAAATGATAGCTTACGTGCTGAACTTTCTCGTTTGCAGAATTTACAACGCATTAGAAAATTCGCAGTTCCTCTCGACCCTGGCAACTCATTTTGAGCCTATACAAAATTAAACTTGAATCAAAATATTTGAACCATATGAACGAAAAACTTACCAATCGGTTCACTCCAACCCAGTTGTCATTTTCCTCGTTACAACTTGTACATTTTACCTTATAACAAAATTCCACAAAGAATTACTCAATAATCAAAAATCTTCGAACTAAAAAGCGAGTTAAAACCTTAAAATGCCACTCATAATCATCGTCACCTGGACCAACCTCCGTCACGTTTTCAAGTTCTGCCTTAAAATGAAGAGCGAGTTTCTATACAAGCCAAAAAAGCTCAATTGCTAATTAAGAAAAACAAAAAAGAATAATAAAAATGAAGGAAAAAAGCTACACACCACCATTTTTTGTTATGGCATACGTAAAGATCAATTGTGTCTATATATATTTTGAAAGATTGACAATGATCAGTACGACATATTTAGAATTTTTAAAATTTATCCGATAATCATTAAATTTTATCTTCAAATATGCGAAAAAGTAACCAAGCGATACGTTCTTTGAGCTCTTTTTCTCTATTTACTCACAAAAATATAGGCTTTACCTCTTCATTAACTCGTTCAAAAAGACTTTTCCCTTCACAATTTATTCCAGGGTTTACGTTACGAGTTTCAGTGTCATCATCTTCACCTTCTCCACCAGGTCCACCAAAAGACCCAATACCCACACCTGATCCAACTGATATAAATCCTCCGATTAATAATTTACCACCCCCTAAGAAAACTGGTTATTCGATAACTTTTCGTGTGTAATCTTTTATCTTTATTTGTTAAAGTCAAAAATTAAATAGGATATAAGGATATAAAGCAAAATACTCTTTTATTTATTATAGCTTGGCTTTACGGTAATCAATCGCCACGGATAAAACATTATCCATATCCAATAACAAATTTTTGGACTTCTATAATATCATTATTACCAGCATTTTTTCAACATGAATTATGTAAGTGGGCAATGTCGAGGATGTTAAAGAGCGCGGTATCCGCTGAATATTTTCCAGAACAATTTCTGCAAGGAGGTATAATATTCTTTTTATAGAACTTAACTCTTTTCGTACATAAGTAATAAAAAAATCTGTAAATTTCAGCCGCATTTGCTGCACGACAAGTATGTACATCTCTTTCAACTCCATCTGAACGCGATGAATTACAAGATATGTTGACTACTAGATTTTATGATAGAATTATTACTGAACTTGATAAATTAGAATCAGAGAAATCTAGTATAACCATTGATATGTTAAAAATTTATGGATTAAATATTCGTGATGTATGGATGTCAATTGGACCTAAAAAGGCATATTCTAACACAAAAAAAGAATATCGTATATTAAAATGGATGACAATGAAATTGGCTATTCGTAATACACCTTCAGAAGGTGATTTTAATGAATCAAGAGCAAAAGTAGCTAAAAGCTTTAGCGATGGAATTAATTTTAAAGTAGATGTTGAAATAGATGCTGATATGCAATACATTCTAAAATCGGCAAAAAATGAGATTTTTATAAATGATCAATCAAGAAGGTTGGTATTATTTCGATTTGAGAGCCTCTATTTTGAACCTGCTGATCGAATATATTACAAAGTATCTTCTGATAATGGCGAAGAGTCAAATTGGACTTGGCGTGTGGGAGATATTGATTATTTGTTGGAAATTGAAGATTTAGAAAACGAAATGAGAGAAGAGAAAGATTCGAATCATTCAGAAGATTGAAAAAGATATGATTTCATGGATTTCGCACAAAATAGTGTTATTATTTTTATTTGTATTTCTTAATTTACATATGATCCGTGAATTAAGTTTCTAACCATTCGAGAAGTTGAGGAGTATAATAAGTTATGATGAGATTTGCACCTAAAAAAAATTGAAATAAAAAAGAAATTAATATAAGAAAAAAACAATATACGTATATATTATTATAATATTCACCCGCTCTCAAAAATCCTTCCATACTTTCGAATACGACAGCACGAAGATCAAATACTTTTGCTTCAGCAGATCTCCATATCATCGCGAATTCGCCCGACACTTGATAAACAGCTATTGGAACGTCAGAACTAATTTCTTTGGCATCACGTAAGATATCCAAATAAGGCATTCCAGGTTTAACCATAATGATATCTGCTCCTTCCGTAAGATCACGTCTCTAGTATTTAATGTAATATTGTTAGTAATAAATTATCCATATAATGAGAATTGAAATTTTGACATACAATTGCACGACGCGCTAAACCGCGTGCATTTGGTGGAAGTTGATAACATTTACGATCACCGAAGGCAGGAGCTGAATTTGCAGCATCTCTAAAAGAATTATATTCTTTGAGTTAAAATTTTAAAAAAAAATATTTAAAAGAAAAAGGAATTTACCTGAATGGACCATAAAAGTTAGTAGAAAATTTCGCACTGTAACTCATTAAATTAACCTTGTTAGTAAGACCTTCTTGAATTATAAGATTTTTAATTGCTCCAATTCGACCGTCCATCATATCGGATGGGGCGACACAATGTGCTCCTATAAAAAGGAATTTATTATTAATAAAATTTAATAATTTTTTTTTAATGTAAATTGTGAAACTGACCAGCTTTAGCATAATTTATTGCAACTTCTGCTATTCGTTTTACGCTTGCTTCGTTATTGATAGTACCATCCTCATTTAAATGTCCTATATATTAATAAAATATTAATGCATATTTGATATTATATGTAACGGCGCAGTAACAGAGAATAATATCAACTTGCCACAATGACCATGTGAAGTATATTCACAAAGACAAACATCACATGCAATAAATAATTGTGGAAATTTCGAACGAATAAGTTTAACGGCTAAAATTACTGGACCATTTGGATCATCTGCACCTGATCCTAATGGATCTTTTTCACAAGTGGGAACACCAAATAAGAGAACTGAAGATAAACCTTTTTCAACAAGAGGCTTAAGAAATCCTTCGATTTTATTAATTCCCAATCTGAAAATCGTTAATTAATCCGATGATATTTTGAATTTGATTTTTTAATTTTTAACAAATTTAAAATACCTTTTTTGACCCGGCAAAGAGGAAATTTCACTTTCAGAATCTGGCTTGTCTGTAATAAAAATTGGATACATTAATGAAGATTTACGTAAAGTACGTTCAGAATGCCATTCTCTAGAAACAGGATGATTATGTCCTCCTTGAAGGAATGAAGAAAGTAACGGCATAGTTTTGTAATCTTTTTTAGTGATGTAATACTGACAAAAAAGATGACTGAAATTTTTTTACAGTACGCACGTGTTAAATAATGTTCGATAGATCAAAAAAATCTATTTGTTTGTTACATATACATGTGAATTTTTCCGATTAAATACAAAAAAAAACTGCAAAAAATTATTTTTTAAATTGTCTTTGAATGTCCACTTTTAATCAACAAGCTTTTTTCCTAGCAAATATTAACCCAATAGATTTGACCATGTCGGATACTACAGATATAACTAATATGCCAAATATTAAAGTATCTACAGGATCACCGTCGTCGTCTTCACAAATATCGTCTCCTCCACCTGTTGACTTTTTATATTCTACACCACCCAGTATAACTCGTGTTTTAACATACACTTCACCATTTGTACACTTTTTTTCATATTTTTTATCTTTGGTTACCTGGTCAACGGGAAATCCTTCAGAATCTTGTTTATTAGTGGCTGCTTGGTGGACAATTTGCCTTTACCCAACAGAAATTATAATATATGGAACTCATATACTTCTATTAGTTTGGATAGGTTGGAAATGGGTTGAAAAAGGTAAAAGCGAAAAACTTGGAAAACCAAGCTCAGCTTCAAAATCCACTTCACAACTTGATTTGAATAGAACAGTTTCAGAAATACACACTATATCTGATAAACTTACGTCATTTCACGCTCTTATTAATCTAATTCGTTCAAATGTTGATTGGACAAATTCTTCACAAACTCAAAAAGTTGTACGTGGATTAATATATTCATATCCAATTTGGTTAGTATTGACATATTTCGTTTCATTAACATGGATTTTCATTATTTTGGGAACATTTGGATTAGTATGGCATAGTCCATGGTTTAAATTTACTCGATATATTCTTATTAAATCACCGATATTTCATGGAATTATGGATTTAATATGCGTATATGTTTGTGGAGGTAATTTATCACAACAAGGAGAAAGGGGAGGATTTTCTGTTAGAGCTTTTGGAACTTTGATTAGTAAAGCAAAAGAACAACAAAAGAAACTTGCAGGTAAAAAAGATAATAATAATAAAGATGAAAATAAAACTTGTACAGATTTAATATTTAGATTTGTTATATATGAGAATCAACGTTGGTGGTTAGGTTTAGATTGGACCACAAATTTATTCTTAAATGAAAGACCCGCTTGGTCTGATGAATATAATGAACCAACAAATCCTAAAAGTTCATTTGAATTACCACCAACTACTACAATTAGTGAAACACCTGAAGATTCAAACGTTCTAATTAAGAAAACCATGGAATGGAAATGGGAAAATTCAGATTGGTGGATTGATTACGATGGTGATGTTGATAATGATGGTTGGCAATATGCTGATAATAGGTGGAATAATCTTTCTTCAAAAAGTGGTTTTAGAAAATACACACGAAGAAGAAAATGGGTTAGAACTGCAAGATTAATTGAAACGATTGAAAAAATTGATAAAAGCGATGAAAGTAAAGACGATGAAGATCAACAAGATCAACAGGATCAACAGAATCAAGAAAATAAACAGAATCAAAAGATTACAGAAATATCAGAAGATTTTGAAACTAAAGAGAATAATAATAAACCTCCTCCATATTCCTTATCGTTAAATTCAAGTAATTCAAGTGATAATAAATCTAAATCTTTACCACTTATTTCAAGAAAAGCAAATGGAAAATTTGATTCTGAATCTATTTCTTTTACTGTTTCATCTGAAAAAGAAAACTAAGATGGAAACCCGATTAAATAGAGTTCTTCGTAATGAGCATATACATATACATATATTTCATTATTTATTTACGTTTTAATATAATAAAAAAAAAAAAAAATAACAATAATAAATAAAATAATGGTTGTTATAATAAACTTTAAATCATGAAGTTTATTCTCAATTTAATGTCACAATTTCATGTAATGAATGTGAAATAAGTTTTTTAGGCTGAAATGATAATATTTTCAATTTTTAGATTTTTCGGATTTTTCATACTTTTGTTTATCACTTGTATCAGAATGATTAAAAGTATTAGAGGTCTCGGTAGTTGAAGCAGCCGTAATTTTTGACACATCTGTATTTTTTGCGTCTTCTGTAACTAGATCGATTTTTTTTGCATCTTCTGTAACCAAATTTGCTTCCTCTTCTGTATCATCATCATCATCATCTAATTCTAAATTCTCACATTATATTAGATTAATCCTAAGTGAAAGTATATTATTAAAATAACTATACTAACCATCACCATACTCATCAGGGTGTTCTCTAAAACAATCTTTCATTTTCTGAAATTGTTCCAGACAATCAACACCTTTTGGTTCCGCCTTTGAATAAATAAAACATGAAAATGCTGCTTTAAATTGCTCTCCACAAGATCCTTTAGCCATTCCTCCTAGACATGGACAATCCCAATTAATTTCTCCAGTTTCTGGATTGAATGCATCAGACTGTTCATTTTCATTTTCATTTTTTGAAGGCGATAAGGTTTCTTGTGAAATTTTTGCCGTTTCTACATTCGTCTGTTGTGTGGAGGTCATTATTATATTTTTTTTTAAAAGATCTTAACGGAAAATTTTTTAACTGGTATAGTTTTTCACGTGCAGCAGTCAAATAATAGTCATATGATTGTTGATCTATTTGAATTATATATTTATTATCATTATTTTATATTAAAAAATGATATTACATACAAAAAAAAGTCTCTATAGTGAATTTTTATATAGTGAATAATTTGCTATAATGAAGAAAACAGATTTTTATTATATATAATAAAATGGACCTAATCTCCAGCCCATGGGATTCACTATAATGAGGGTGAACTGTATAATAAATATTGAAAACATAATAATTTTTTTAAATGAACAATAACTATTTTCTTATTATGGAATTTATCAATTGGCAAACCAAACGAGTCAGCACCTAAAAAAGAAATCCAGCAAGCCAGTCAACTTCTCTAACTAAACTTGCAAACATTCCCGCCATTCATTCCTTTATATTAATTTACTGAAAACTTGCGGCAGAAAGACACTTCACCTCCTAGTTTTTAAAAATATTCTTCTTTCCCTCAAGTCTATTGGTTAAAGATTGAGAGCAAAGAAACTACATTATTTCGCAATTGCCAGCAGTGCGAGTCACAATTTCTGTTATCTTATTATTTATCTTATCTAACTCTGCTATCGTATTATCTATCCCTTCTCTCAATAAAGCTCCCGTCTTTGAAACCAACCTTGAGTTCGACGAACAACTTTCTCTTCCAACTCCGCTAATCTCTTTTTTTATTCATAGTCAAGTTTTTAAATTCTTCTAAGTTTAATCTCATTCAAACCATCCAAATTCGCGAGTTTGTATAAATACTCTTCACGAGTACTTATCCAAGTTACCAGTATTTTTCATGACATGTCTCGTCTAAGTCGTCTTCATGCCAACCTCCCTTCCTCAATATCTTTTATTGGAGGGGTTACATGCCGTAATTACTGAGAAATATCATCGCTCATTTTTGTTATGTCCGCATTTTTTAAGTTTACGAAAATTAATAAACTTAATAGTTAGTACGAACTATAGTTGTATACTTCACTACCATCTTTATCAAAATAGTTGTCCTTATAATTCATAAACTTCCATTTCTTCTCTAGTAAATCGCGCGCTAGCGACAAACAATATGATTTAAGCCGTCGCGACCAGCATAAGCCGCATCAGCAATTTTATTTAATACTTGCAATCTCGATGGCATCAATTAGTGTTTCATTAAATTGGCATTGTTAACAACTTTTCTGTTATGGATATTTCTTTTATACTTTTCAAGTCAGTTTGTTCTAAACAATTGTTACACAAAGTGTATTTCTCGTCCAATCAAAAATTCGATTGGATGTTTATTGTGGGGCGTTAAGGATGACAAAACTATTTGTAATCCGCAAACACGTTTTCATAATATATAAATTCGATAAAACATCGCGAAAATCGCGCAAGTATTTTGAACTCAAACCTGAGCTTTCAAAGTTTACCTAGCTTACTTTTCGAGGCAATTCATAATAAAAAAGAATTTATAATAGTTAAAAAAATATTCTTTATTCATGTATAAAACAAACCTTATTATATTTTATATTTTCAAACATGAGTAACCAGGATTATTTTGCGAAAGATTTCGATCCTAATAAGGTCACCATAAAACGTCTAAAAGAAATCTTAAACGCTCATGATATTCCACACAAGGGTATTGCAAGGAAAGCTGAATTCGTACAGAAATTTCAGGAGTACGTACTTCCTGAATTACAAAGAAAGGAAGAAAAAGAGCAGAAAGTTTCTACAGAGCAAAAGACTGCTAAACGAAAAAGTGTCACTGAACAGAAACATGCTGAAGAAGATAATATATCTTCTATCTCAAATTCACAAATTAAAACTCCAAATCAACGAAAGAGGAAAGTAGGACGTGTAAGTAGTAAAAAGCAAAAGGAAGAAACGATAACACAACCACAAATCATTCAAGATGATGGGCAGTCCTCAAAAGCAATAGTTATAGATGACGATAATATTAATAATAATGCACAACTGACTTCGATTTCACAAGAACAATTGAGGCAAAATTATTCTGAAAGGATTTCTCCGCCACGTCCTTTAAAAGCTCCAACATCAGAGACGCCGTTTTATCCTATGGTTCCTCCGTACTCTAGAACTCCTGCATATCCTTTTCTAGAGCCAGAAGAACTAGAGAAAGTTAAACTTAGAGAAAAAGAACTACAAGCGTCTTCGGAAACACCTTTATATCCAATTCAAGAAGGATCTGAAAATATAGAGGATAAAATAAAACATTTTGAACGGCGTGAAGCGTTTGCATATTGTTTTAAACCTCGAGCTCCCAAAAGAAATATCGATCGTAGACCGCCTCCCGAGTTTGTTAAACGTAAACAGAAGATCCGATTAAGTTCAGGGATAATTTTCCTTATTTTCACAGTCACAACCGTTATTGTATTGTTGAGTTTAAAAGCACAAATTGGCTTTTGTGATAGCGTTAAACCTGATTATAAGGAAGTTGAAGATTCACAATCATCATCTCAATTCGTAATTAACTTAATGTGCACGCAATGTCCTCCTAAAGCAACGTGTTCAAATGGCATCATCACAGAATGTGAAAAAGGCTTCAAACGGGAAACTTCATTTTTTCGGCTAGCTAAGCCTTACTATACGCATTGCGCGATTGATAAAGATCAAATGACAAAGGCTAGGAAATATACTAAAGAATTCAAAGAAATTATTGCTCGCGAAATGGGAAGAGTAACATGTGGATATGAAGATAAAGATAACATGTTGTATGAAAATCTCATACTTCAACTTAAAGACATCATGCCACTGCAAGACTACAAATATATCAATGTCACATACGAGACCATTTGCGAGGATGATGATATTAACATTGAGAATAAGGACGGGGAAAATTACATATTCTCCAAAAAGCCAACTTTTAGCTTTTATTGCCAATTATCTTTTGCCATCGCGAAACTTATCAAAAAGTTTTTCGATAATCTATCTTATTCATTGACAGTTCTGTCAGCATCATCTTTGTTAGTATTTGGATTCTGGTATATTCGACAACGGATATGGGAAAGACGCCAAGTGAGCGCTGCCTTCGGCTTAGCATTAACGAGATTAAATGAAGAAAAACGAATAATCGGTCAGGAGTTTCGTGAAGAGGCATTCGCTCATGTGAAAGACCCTATGGTACGTCAAAAGCTTTTCCAAAAGCTTGATGAAAAGGTCCGGACAAACCCGTATGTTCGTGCTGGAAACATTATCTACGACGGGTTTGAAACAGGTGTCTGGGAGTGGAAAGGTAAGTATACACATTTATATCTTCTTTAATCATCTAATCATCATAAACATTCATTGACTTGTTGATTCATCTTTTAGGTCCTTATACTACTCACGTTAATCCAAGGTAATCGGATTTTGATATGGTGCAATATTATTTCCTCATTTGCAAGGGTTCTTGAAAATTTTCTTAAAAGTTAATAATAAAAAAACTTAATGTAAAATCAAACTTTGGAGTTCCCAACATCTTGAATTATTAAAATGTGATTGTAGTTATAAATAATAATAACGCGCCTTTTATTATCACGTGAGCAAAGATTTTTGTATATGTGTCATAACTCGAAATCCAGGATTATAAATGGTTTATGAAATTGTCATGTGATTTGGAGAATGCACATGCACCCCGAGATCTCCTTTTATAAAGGGGACGGGTTCAAAAATTCCTTAGAAAAGATAAAGCACAGTTTTCTTTTGTGGTGGTCAAGCTTTGTTTTTATTCATTAACGTTCTCTTTTGAATAAAGCTAAAAGTGCCTAAAATTACCCTGCATCGTAGTGGATTTACTACTTGAACGAAGATTTGTATTGCTTTTTGAACTTCTAAACAGGCAAGACGTCGTCTCCAAAGCATAAAAAACGCAAGATTGAACCAATGTCGGACATGTCTGACGAAGATCTCACGTTCGAAGATTCTTATCGAGACTCAGGTATGTTATTCAATGTCTTTTAATGTGCTTGTTCTTATCAATCTTATTTTTTTTCAAAAGAAAGTTTAAGCTGCGCAAGTAAAATTATACGATTTTAATAATTAAATTCTATTTTTTTTTATATTTGTAATTTCAGACGAAGATGTCGAAGATGTCGAAGATGAAGATGACTATGTAGATGACGATGATACCGATCTCAACTTTACGGACGTCGTAGCGGAAAAAGACCGTAAAAAAAATTATGAAGTGGACTTTATTGTTCACTCTATTGAAGGTATCGTGAAGAATCAAGACGATGAAGTTACTCACGTATCCAATATTCTCGGTATCCAGAAACAACATGCTGCAACGTTGCTTCGTCATTTTCGTTGGAATAAGGAGAGACTTATTGAACGGTACATGGAAGATTCAACTGAGGTCTTAAATAAAGCTGGTGTCATAACTGATAATGCCAGAACACCAAAATTTATAAAGATTCCTGGTTTTATTTGTGATATTTGCTGTGATGATGATGAAGATTTAGATACCTTAGCTCTATCTTGTGGGCATAGATTTTGTAAAAATTGTTACGAACATTATTTGACACAAAAGATCAAAGAAGAAGGTGAAAGTCGCAGAATTTTATGTATGGCTAGCAAATGTAACGTAATAGTAGACGAAAAAACTGTTGAATTGGCGGTGAATAAAGATATACATGAGAGGTTTATATTTTATATATATTAATCATTGATTTTTTTTAGTAAATAATATTTATCCTTTATGATTATTTTAAATAAATAACTTTTTGTAGATATCGTACGTTACTAAATCGTACATACGTTGATGACAACGAATATTTACGATGGTGTCCTGCTCCTAGTTGTGAATATGCTATAGAATGTCATGTACCTCAAACTTCACTTACAAGCATTGTCCCGACAGTCGAATGCGTATGTACACATCGCTTTTGCTTTGGCTGTGGTTTCCCAGACCATCAGCCCTCCATTTGCGTTCTTGTAAAAAAATGGATTAAAAAATGTGAAGATGATTCCGAAACAGCTAATTGGATTTCTGCTCATACAAAAGAATGCGGAAAGTGTCATTCAACCATTGAAAAGAATGGTGGATGTAACCATATGACTTGTCGTAAATGCAAATATGAATTTTGCTGGGTTTGTATGGGTCCTTGGTCAGAGCATGGCACCAGCTGGTACAATTGTAATCGTTACGACGAAAAGACTAGCATAGATGCAAGAGATCAACAAGCCAAATCTCGTGCTTCTTTGGAACGGTACCTTCATGTATGTATTTATTGATGATGTTTATTCATGCTTAATTAATTAATTAAATTATAAATATAATCTTTTTCGCTTTTAGTATTATAATCGATTTGCCAATCATGAACAATCAGCGAAATTGGATCGTGAATTGTATAACAAGACTGAGAAAAAGATGGAGGAAATGCAACAAACCTCTGATTTATCTTGGATTGAAGTTCAGTTCCTTAAGAAGGCTGTTGATATTCTTGTTCAATGCCGTATGACACTTAAATGGACATATGCCTTTGCTTTTTATCTTGCTCGTAACAATCAAACTGATATCTTTGAAGACAATCAACGTGATCTTGAGATGGCAGTCGAACAGCTTTCAGAGTTATTGGAAAAACCTATTGAAGCCGAAAAAATTGCAGAATTGAAACAACAAGTCTTGGATAAAACTGTTTATGTTGGAAGCCGTAGAGAAGTATTATTGGAAGATACCGCTAAAGGATTACTTGAATCTCGTTGGGAATTTCAAGTAGATATTAAAAGTTAGAATTTTTATTAAGATTTTTAAGTATATTCACAAAGAAATTCTAAAATAAGGGAAGCTACTTGGGCGGTTAATAACTTTAGTTCTTTAGGAAAATTGTGTCAACATATAAAAAATTGGAAGTATGAGTACAAGTTAATGTTATATCATTTTCACACAATTTTTTTGCACTATTAATTTACTAAAAAAAAATTATCATTCACAAATAGTTCATGAAAAGTATAATTTATATAGCATTGTTTGAATGAAATAAAAAAAAAGGTAGTTTAAACAACGAAATTGATCAGGAAAACACAGGTTTACGAATATTAATCGTTCATCATTACAAATATCCCAAGTTCTTTTAAACCAAATGTTTTTTTTCTCTTGTAACTTTTCCTTTGTTTAATATTTACATTTTTCTTTTCTTTTTTTTCATAAATGGTAGCTTTTTTTCCCTCTTACTTTCTTTATATAAACATTTTATAAAACTTTTATGTTTGGTAGTTTAAATAACTTGGAATTGGTTTTTTCCTTAAAAGATACTATTTATAGACCTGTGTAAAAAAAAATTTTGAATATACATGACTTTTTAAAACTAATAGTATTTAATGGATTATTATTGTAATATTCACTTACAATACGCTAACATAATTTATAAATGGTTATTTATTAACTACAATAGAATCAAGTGAAGTATCGACATTTTCATCATTTGCATTATTTGTTAAAGAACTGGTAACATTTTTAAAATTATCCCAAGCACTTGGATAAACAATTGAATCCCATTTTTGTTGTAAACCATCAATAATTTCACTAAAAGAAGAATTCCTTTTTACAACATGACGAAAATAGGGTTCAATAAGATCATCGTTTTTCGGATTTTGAGGACGAAATTCGAGACGAACTTCTTCCTCCGAAGGATTAGGATGATGAAGAATATTAACATAATCAAGAAGAGATTTGTTTTGGTGTGAATCTAATGTTGGCAAAAGATCAACAACTACGTCTGGGATGTGAATATGTGATGCTTCATTTTCGTTGTCAAACAAATGAACTTCAAGTTTTATATATGAATGTGTACGAATCCATTCAAGGATTTCTATCAAAAAATGTTAAAGTTTTGCGTTTTTTTTTTAAAAAAAGGAAACTTATCTTCAAATTTGCTTACCTGGTTTAGTACCAAGGATCACGAATCTTGAAGAATTTACCACAGATAAACTAACCACTTCAGGTATTTTTGCGGGAGTGATTATCTTTCCTTCAGTCGCAGACTTGTTACCAATTTGTTCGCCTGAAATATCAATTTAAAATAAATATTAAACATTGTCAATTTCTTTGTCATATTCTAATTAGTATAATTACCAACCTATCACATAACCATACTTTAAAACCATTTTTAAGTATATAAGAGTTGTAAAAACAGTTTTTGAACTTTATATACTGCCAAGATATATATGGTACATTCCGAATCTTAAGTACAGAATTTGGGGCATGTTGATACGCGTCGTCTTTATGTATATCATTAACTAATATTAAACTTTACTAATTTAATATATCGTATATCATGAGTTAGAATCAGGTGATGCCGATATACTACGGCAAGTATAATTTTTCGGGGGGTCGATCTTCCCCAGTATCACCGACACTTTTTCCACCCCCACGTGATTTTGTAATATTCATCACCGGCATCACACCCCACCGCGTTTTCACTGTTTATATTTATCTGAGGGACTTAGTTTTTTTTTTNGTTTTCACTGTTTATATTTATCTGAGGGACTTAGTTTTTTTTTTGCCTCACAAAATTATTTTTTTCACATCCCTTTAAATGTCACCGGTCACATGGGGGTGGAATTTTAATTATAAAAGTGTCGGTGATACTGGGGTAAATGGGGGGTCGTGTTCGATCACGTGACTTGTAAAAATTTATTTTTTACAAATAAAACTTTTTCGCCAATACATAAAACTTTCAAGTTACACATAATATGTGTATTTTAGCCTGCTGTGCAAGTTTACTTAGTGCGCAACATGGGGTTTTGAACACCGTTTTTGACTTATTTGAATTTTTTCATTTTCGTCATCCATTTTTGGATATGATCGGCAAAGATTATTCATTCATATGTAAAGTCAAAAACAGTGTTTAAAACCAGCTTTTTTTCACTAAGTAAACTTGTAAAGCAGGCCAAAATACACTTATTATACTTACATTAATCTTAGTTCATAAAAAAATGGCTTATTCATAAAATGTCAAGTCACATGATCGAACACGGCTTTAGACGACCCCATTTTTCGGCAAATGTATTTATGCACTATGACGTGGGACAGTGTCGAATTATCATGGCTATAATTCGAGCTACCCGGTAATAATTCACACCTCTTTTTTATTATACATTATGAAATTTATTAAATTAACAAAACAAGGAATAACTAAATGTATACTATTAAAATTATTAATTAGTAAACTAACCTGCATATAAAGTACTCAATATAACCTACTAACCCCTCCAGCGTTATTAATTTGTCCAAATAATAATGAAAATCGTTGTTTAAAAAAATCTACTGAATACGCTTTTAATTCGATCTCCTTTCAGTAAAGGAGTTAATAGGCTTGATTCGACACGTTCAACAACAGGTTTGACTAATTTAGGTTTTTCCAAAGATTTCTCATTGGATTTGCGAATTAATTCTAATCTATATTCATTATCTATTTTCCGCCAAATATTTAAAATATCAGCAGCTTGATCACTAGGACACATTGCCAAGGCATATCCCATGAGAATCATTTGCTTTTCCAAATTTTGAAATATGTCTTGCTTTGCAACCTCATAACAAATTCTCCAAGCAATATCTTTAACAGAATCTAGTAGAGTCTCCTTTTTATCATTATTTCTCATATTTGAAATTGTCTTTATTATCTTCACAATATCGATACACATATTGTATGCAAAATTGAGATTAGAATCACGTAATGCAGCATCAGCAAGCATGGCCATAACTTTGACTTCCGCAACTTTATCATTTCGGTAACCTAACTTCTTTGCAAGTTCCATAATTGATTTAGAATCATAATATGCATCTTCATTTGTACTTAATAAACGAGAAATCAAATCTAATTTATTTGGTGCAAGTCGAATTTGCATAGGATGTATCAGAATTCCAGGTTGATGATAAACTTTTTGTTCTGTAAGCATATGAGTTGCTTCAATGAACTCAATTTCAGATTGAAGAGTATCAGAAATGGGCAAAATTTGAAGACTAAAAAATAAAACACATTAACAACAATATAAGGAAGCCACTTTAGTAAAAACTTACGCCTTACCATTCATATGCCAACTTCATATATCCATGATACATATTTCCGGAAGGAGCATTATCAAAGAATTCTCTTGACGCATCTATAACAAGTTGCTCAGCTACCGTTATATCTAAAGGTTGTGGTTGATCAGTAGGCAAAATAATTTTACGGGCCAAATTAAATTCTAAAAGAGTATTGTGTTATAGGTAATATAGTTTTAAAGTATCCACTCAAAAGAATAGAAATTTAGCATTCACAAAATAGATAAAGGATACTGCCATAGCTCAATAATGAAGAAACAAAAATCTTATATATTTCCTCTGTAGATATTTTACTCAAAACGCCTTTTCCATTTTCATGAAGATTAAGAATTTCCTTTAATAATAAGGTCCATTCATCTTCATTTTTAAACCTATCTTCATCATTTTCAGGTCCACTACCAGATCTCCTTGCTAATTGAATACATAATTGCTTTTGTAAAATATAATCGTTCGAACTCTGTAAAAACCAACATAAAGGTACAGCATTGTCATATCGAGTGAGAATCTCTGCAGCATTCAAATGAAGTTCAAGAGAATCAATTATGCCTTGAAGTTGAATTTCATTTTTAGACTTGAATAGTGAGAAAAATTCATATGGTGTATAATTCTGGAGTGAATTAATGTCAAAACTTTCATCTGATACTTCATCAAATATCGGAAGACATTCATAAATACGAGTCATATCCTGCCAATTATCAGTTCTAGAATTTCCGTAAAGACAAGCAAGAGCTATTCTGGCAAGATCTTCATCGGAAACGATAATTCGTTCTTGCGCATCCAAACTCGGTTTTGATGCTTCAAAGATAGTACAAACTAATTTTAAATTAGATGATGAAATATCTAAGATATAATTGTAAAGCAAATCAAGTGGTTTACTCTCTGGTTCTGATATTGGTATTTTATCAATAATATCGTCTTTAAGAACATGATTTAATCGAGCACGACGAGAAGGCAATATTCTTAAAAAGGGAATGATAAATTTCTTAATGTCACTTACAATCCGTTTTTCATCAGTATATTGAAGGAATACTCGAATAATTTCCGCTTCAGTTAATGCCTCAAATTCCTTCAATGACATGCTTTTACTAACTGAATCCAAGTTTGGATAGCAATCATAAACGAGTTTCGCTAACATATCAAGATTTTCTTCCAAGGTCTCCAAATTCATTACATTTTTCCTGATTCCATGATGAATAAGTTCAAGAGCTTTATCCACTTGTCCTGAAACACTATCTATTTTATGAGCACGATCAATATACCACTTTGTAATTAAAGTTGATTGTGCTGGATATTCAACTGGGTTTAATTTTATTCCTCCGACTTCTAATTCCTCTGATACATTAGGTAATATTCGTTGCTTTAAAATTGGGTTATCAACCCAATCTATTTCTCTCCATGGTTGTTCATGCCACAAACGTTCAACAAGTTCACCATTGCTATTTAAGATAACGCTAGGTAAGAAAGATTCATAATCATCAGGGTTAACCGTTTCCGGAATTTGTTCAAGGATTGTAAAACGATAAGGCAATGTTTCGGAACCATGATGAGTAAATAGAACGTTCAAACCCTTGAAAAACTCTTCGGTTGCATAATCCATAGCTAAAGCTGCAATGTTCAAATCACGAAATACTGCATAATCATCAACGAATGTTGAAGCATAATCAACAAATGTGACCCAGCCATCATTGTCTTCAAAATCCTCCATAGATCCATTTTCAATGTCATGCTTTTTTTTTTCTTCAACGATAACCTCATATGTACGCAACCGATCCAAGTACTTAAAAAAGTAATGCCTATATTTACAAATAATAATATCTTTTTCAGATATATGTAGTTTGCCCAAAAATTCTTTCACCTCAGAATTTACTTTAAAAGGATATTCACGAAGCAATTTAATTATTTCATCTTTGTTAGACGATGCTCCATTATTTAAAATCTTGTCCAAAATATCTGTGTCTTTCAAACCATAATTTAATAAAAGTCTTAATAAATCAGGTTTATTGCTAAATGTACGTATACAAGCAGAGAGTACCCATTCTCTATCATGTATTTTATCAAGGTAATCATGAATTGCAGACTCAGAGACTTCAGCATCCTGCCATTGAGCCTGATATATAACATCTGTATCTAGATCGTACGTTTTTGCTATTACCAACGCGTCATCATAATCTAGAGCATTTATTTTGCGATTTAATAGCTCGAGAGGAGAAATTTTAGAAATACGATTAAGACGATATGTCTTTCTAGAAACTGTTACAATTTTCCCACGGGATTCCGTGGTATCATTTTCAAAGTGCCATAAGAAAGTATCAGTCACATAATGTAAAGAATTTGCTAAAGCACTTATTAATCTGCTTAATTGAGATTCTGCTTCTTCGGATTCTTCATCATCAATATCTCCTTCTTCCTGTTCTCTTGAATATCGAACGAATCCATCATTAATCATTCGAGCTTTAACAGATTTAACCTCATGTTCAATAACAAGGAAACAATTATTACATTGACTGGTAATTTCACGACAAGATTTAAAAGATTCTGGAGATTCACCTAATATATTGACCATTTCTGGAAGGCGGGCAATAATCATTAAACCGTATTGGTAACCAAAAATAAGGGCATCATTTGACCACCAACCAATTGATACAACCTTTCCATTATCAAATCCTGGAATACTAGTAAAATCACCACCCTCATTTTTAATTTCTGAAACTTTGTCAATAAATTCTTCTAAAGACAGATCTCTAAATTCTTTACCTCTAGCAAAGAAATTAAGTTCAGATTGATTGAAAGATCTATTTAATTCGAGTCCTTTATTTAAGGACAAATTCCATAACTTTACTGCACCAGAAAAGTCCAAAGTCAATAAGTGCTGCTGATTTGGTGATAAAACCATGTTATGAATTATTTCATCTGTGAAATTTTTGTTGGTATTACGCCAGGTTGAAAAAATATTTATTAACCGATAAAAGAATCCCGAGTAATCAGCTGTTTCTTGACTTAATTGTGATGTATCATCTATAGTTCTACTATTTGAACCTTCCAATTCTAGTTTTCGATAAAATGGTCTTTCTGGCAATAGCATCCAACATGCAACAGAAGACAAGGTTGTCTCATCATCATCCTCAAAGCTTGATTTACCGCCAAGACATAACATTAACCCATTTAATGTTATGACAGCTCCGCAAGCAGTAGTAGACAACCACTGCTTAAAAGAAAATTTATGATAATAAACAAAATAACCAGGATCGGAAGGTCCTTCACGCGAATAAGTAGCATTAGGTCTCAAATGAAATAAAGTTTCTTTTCCGTCCATGGCTGCTGTCTCTGTTGTGTTAATTAAATAGCTACGTAAAATACCATCAAAAGTGACTACCAGCAATTCATACTGGTATATGTATCCCTCAAATGATAATATCTTATTTGATCCACGTTTTGGATCAATAAAACATAAAAAGGCTACTGGTTCAAGAAAAAAACTCGACCTGCTCTGTGCATCTGTTTCAGCATCAGAATTAATGTTTGTGCTAGATAAAATGACACAAACTAAATTTCCATTTTCGTCAATGATCTCAATTGTTCCATCGCTCCTTGAAGCTGCTAAGATTTTAGAATCTGGACTCCAGGATAGACGTCTCCATTTTGGAAATGTGTCTCTATCTCTTTTAGAAGTAAAAATTGCGTGATTTGTTTCAAAGCCACTTTTACTCGTTCTAATTTCTATTTTATGATCGCTCAATGCAGCTAGGTACTGGCAATTGGGCGACAGCTGCATAAATCTATCAGAAGCTACTTTTAGACGTGCCTGAATAAGTGAACGTGGTACCGTAGTGGAAATCGCAAGTTTCTCTAAGCTACGAACGAGGCGGTGTGTAACTTGCTTGAACACATGTTTTGGTATCTGAGAATAAGAAGGATCATAAGGGTTAGCATGTAGTTTGACTTGGGAGCCGGTTTCCTGATCTAATTCATCCTCTGGTTTCCAAACAGCAACTACATCTATATCATAAAGTATGCGTTCTGAAGAGCTTTTGGTAGGTTCTATTTGTTTTGCCATTATTTTCCAATTTTGCATCTGCGAATATCCTAAATTTTGATTATATCAATCGGTAATACTATACAAGCCAATCAATTCTGCAGTTGAATCGTATGTATAACCTTAGCTGCATGACCGCATAATTTTAAAGATAATCAAATTCAAATTCTTCACTTTATTCACTTGATTCTTTTAGACGATGGTTTATGAATTTACGTTTACGTTACTATATGATTTATTTTTACAATTTGGTTCACAAATGTTATTTTTTGCATTTGGATGGGTTTATTTAGTAAAGAAACTATTTAAAGACTATGAATCGTCTATTGACCGACATGACGTCCAATTCGTTCAAGCAATATTTTCACTTACTTTCAGCACAAGCTGTGCTTTGTTCGAATTGATCATTTTTGAGATCATGGACGTCATGCATAAAGAGTAAAGTTCTCTTTAATAATTTTTATTATTTATTTTTATTTATTTTTATATAAAAACATTTTAACAATGTTAAAACGTAAATATTTTTAGTTCACGATATATATGTTGGAAAATAACCCTCTACGTGTCACTTTTCCTCGTAATAATATTGATTCCAGCTTATCAATTATATCTTTTAATAACAAATATACAAGAAAGTTTACCCAAAAGATATTCTATAATCATCGCACTTTTATGTTGGTTAATATATTTTTATGGTTTTTGGAAAGTTGGAGATTTTTTTCCAATTAAAAATACCGAAAAAAGTAAGTTTATTCGTTATAATTTCGTTCCTTAATAAATAAAACTGATTTTTAAATTATTTGAATAGAATCTATACCCGATGATACATTGATACAATTTGGAATGAGTCGCGTGGGAGTACTTGGAGTTACTATAATGGCAATATTATCAGGATTTGGGGCAGTAAACAGTCCTTATGCAACATTATTTTTCTTCTTGAGACAAGTTAAGGATACAGATATTCAAGCAGCCGAAAAAAAATACCTTCAAACTTTGGATATAATATTAAATAAGAAGAGAAGAATAATAATTTCACAGCAACAAAGAACTACAAACGAGCAAAATTCAAGAGTTGGTGGATTTGTGCGAAGAATGTTTAATACAATGGCGAATGGGATCGGGATTAGTAGTGAAAATATTAGCGTTTTAAGACAAGAAATAACAGGACTTGAAAATTTTGGACGACAATTATTTTTAGATATCGAAGATTTATACCAAGAGAGAGATCGAATACTTTATTCTAAAACATGGCAAGGAAAATATTATAATTTTATGGGTTATAATTTTTCAATTTATTGCATTTACAAAATCGTAATGGCAATTGTCAATATTATTCTTTCGCGTGTGGGAAAAACTGACCCAATTACTTACGGGTTAACATTAGCAATTGCTTATTTTAACATAAAAGAAATTGATATTGATTTCTGGTATCAACAATTAAGTTTTTTCACAGTTGGAATAATGATATTTTTTTCTATTCGAGGATTATTAATTCAATTCCTAAAATTTTTTAGAGCAGTATCAAACCCCGTATCGAGAAACAATATTGTGTTATTTCTTGCACACATAATGGGAATGTATTTTCTTAGTTCAGTTTTAATGTTGAGAATGTCATTACCAGAAGTATATAGGAATAAAATTACGATTCTTTTCAAATCGATTGATATTGCATTTTATCACAGATGGTTTGATGTAATATTTCTTGTTAGTGGAATAGCAAGTATGGTTTTCATATATTTTGTACATCAAGCAAACAATAGCAATGTTATGTTATCTACCGCAATGACTCCTTCTGGAACACCAAATGGAAGTTTACCAATAACTTCACCTATTTCACCTGGAGATGTGAGTGGTATAGGCGGTGGTAGTTTAAGCGGAAGTGGATCTAGCAGATGGACTTCAAATAATAATAATTTATATTACAGAAGTTAATCGTTTATTATATATAATACTTTAATAATTAAAAAATCACAATAGAATTAATTTAATAAAGGTTCAAACATTCCGCTATCTAATTCTAATAAAGCTTGAATATCTTTTTTTATGTTCACGTTATTTTGTACGCATACCAATTTTAAGAGTTGACATATGTTACATAGTGATTTTTTTAACATGTTATTATTAACTTCAACACGCATCACTTGATACCATGATGTTGCCACTGATTTCAGTATACGACCCTTGTATTGTGGTATTCTTATGTACATAGAATATATAGTTAACAGAGATCGAACAAATAAACGTTCACATGAAAGGATGAACATACTACATACCTGGGCCAGCATGTACTAATAACCTTTTCTAAACCTTTTGCTGCTGCATAATGTAACCCTATGATTTGCTCCTTATTTGTAAACTCAAAGGTTACTTGCAAAGAGTCACATATAGTTTGTATTAATTCTCCTAAATATTTAACCATAACTATACCTAGTTCTTGACTTAGATTAGGGATTTGTTCTAATAATATTATACGAATTACAATTTTGTCACCCGAAAATATGAACCCCCTTACAACATTATTGGATAATATTTGTTCATATTTAATAAAACGCGCTTCAGAATTTGGTTTTTCGATTAAGGAGATTAATGAAATTATAGCAGAAAAGCTTTGACGTAATAATGAAACATGAGATTCCTCATTTTGATAAGTTAAACATCTACTTAATGCTTCGTGAAAAACTTCACCTAATCCTGTTCGTTGTATAATGTCAGGGGTTAATTCTTTTAATAAATGGTCCAGTAAAGAGACACCTCGAGTCTTGAAATTCACATTATAATCATCAATAAGTGATAAAGTTGGAGGAATAATAAGTCCAATGGTCTTCCCAATCTCTGCGTTCTTTCAATGATATCAACCATTTTTTTTAGACGTCAATTAATTTATTTCTCTAAATAAAATTAAAATCACTTACTTTCAGATGTAAGATGCACCACCGTAAAATATTAGATCCTTTTGCTATTTCTCCTCTCCATGATTCATTCCCAATATCAAAATCAACAGGTTGTTTTTTTAATTTTCCACTTCTCTTTTCAACATTCACAGGAGTATGCTTTAGAAATACTGGTTTTACATATTTTTCGAGTATTTCAGAGGAAAATATTTGAATCATTCGTGTAACAGTCGGAAACCGCTTTGGTTGCAAGGTAATCAACGAGTTGATTGTTGCTTAAAAAAAGTATTCCTACATTTAATATATAAAAAAAAAAAAATTTTTTTTTCGAAAAAGCAACTTTACCAATTGCACTTTTATTTAAATCAGAATTTGTCCATGATTCTTCTCCTATAAACGTTGCACATGTTACAATTATTTGTATTATTTCTTCATCATCTAGTTTGTTATCTGTGGCATTCTGGATTAAAGTTTGTAATTCTTTTAACGCCAATTCAGCTTGAATTTTAAATGTATTCGCTAGTCTCGATATATCAGTATCTTTAAATATTAAAAGTGCATACATAATTTAATACAATTTATTTTAAAGATAAAAGGTAAATAACAAAGACAACACCTGTTGCATATCCATCAACAAATGATAAATAAGTTGGAACTCTTAATCTTTCAAGTAATTTAACTAGTTCACTTCTAATACTTGACATTTTTCAATAGTTAACTATTGAGGTACCCAATTAAAAAGCCAATAAAAAAAACAAATAATATAGCAATAAAGCAATAAAATCTGATAACTTTTTATCAGATCCGAAAGTTATCCGCTGATCCGATGATCCGACACTGATCCGTGTCATTTGAACAAATATTTTACTTTGCATTGTTTGCATTGTTTGCGATAAACTTGGGTAAGCTGTACAAAATACGACCCGAAGAAATTAATTATCGTTTACGGAAGCTTAGTCTTTGAAGGAAACTTTGCTGAAATGTTTACAAAAAAAGTTGCAAAATCATTTGTACGATCTCAGACTATTTTTTCATCTGTTTTATTTATTTCTCCATCTTTTTCACGCAGTTACGTTTCTAAAAGTAGACAACTTTCCTCTTCATTTGCTTCAATAACAACTTCTCAAACTTCGTTACCTATAACTTCACTAAAATCAAAGGAAAATCCGCAACCACCTCCTCCGCAAATCACTTTTCAGGGCCGTAAATTACCTGATCACTTGATCAATCTCGCCTCACCTTCTGGCAAGGAACTTTTTAAACAAGCGCTTAATGAAAGTTATGCCGAGGGTTATTTTAACTTGTCTAGTTGTTTTTCACATCAGATGGAACCAGCTTATTGTGGTTTAAGTTCTTTATCAATAGTTCTTAATGCATTACAAGTCACAGGTGCTCCGGTATGGAAAGGTCCTTGGCGATGGTGGTATGATGAGCTTTTAAATTGCTGTGCTGAAATCGAAGAAGTGAAAAAATCTGGAGTTACTTTTGATCAATTTGCATGTTTAGCAAGATGTCACTGTTACACTGTTGCTAAACGCGCTAATAAAGTGTCAAAAGAAGAATTTATTTCTGATTTAAAGGCCGTTTGTTCTCGTTCCGATATTTTTATGATAATCTCTTTTTCAAGGCAAGCCCTGCAACAAACTGGCGATGGTCACTTTTCGCCAATTGGAGCATATAATCATGAACAAAATATGGCTCTTGTATTAGATACTGCTAGGTAAAACAAATTAATTTTTTTTTTTGAAATATATTATACTTTGAACCCATTTCTTTCCTCTTTTTTTAATAGATTCAAATATCCATCGTACTTTGCTTCTGCTGATTTATTATACGAAGCTATGCTCCCATTGGATAAGGAGACTAACTTGCCACGAGGTTATTTTCTCCTTTCTTCGTATGAACCCCAAAAACCCATTTCTCTCTGTAAATTGTCTCAAGATGCAATAGTAAACTGGACTTCTCTCGGAAAAACTTTCTGTAAGGATCTTCCTGACAGATTAATTACCGAAAGGCCGAAAACTTTAGAGGAGGCGGTAAAAGTGATTTTAAATGATCCGTTTATTATGTCACTACATGATTCCATGCAAACTGATGTAGATAAGTCCAGTTCTGAAGGGAATCCGGAATCTGGAGAACAATACTTTAGCACTTTACTTAACGATATCATCATGTCTCCTTTATATTCAATTGTTAAATCAGTGTTTAAGAAGCAATCGCCGCCTCCAAATCAGTACAACGAAACTCAGATCTCCTTTGCTACCCTCTTCCTTCTTTCATTTCCCACCAATTTATTCACGAGTTTGTCTACAGAGTTAGTAATTGAATTGGAACAATATCGCGATCATACTAAAATGTCTTCTGTGTTAAAACATGAAGTGGAAAAGATAAATGAAGAAGTTACGGACTTGATTGGGAATTTTTGCTCTTGTAGTAAGACAAATGCAATACTTTCTAACGATTTGGATAGTTCTAAAGCAGATATAGTATGCTGTCAAGCTAAAAACTAAAAATAGTTTGTAAGTAAATTGTATATTAGGCCGAATCAATTAAAAAATGTTTCAGATGTATGTAAAACTTTGTATAACTATGTGTGATATTACATAATCATATTTATAATTTAATAAATTAGCCACGTTTATACGTATATCAATTTTGAAAAATTTTTACAAACTCGACAAAATTAAACAACTGCCATGTTTTACTCAATACATGACTTCGTTATAGGTTTAATTTTAATATTTTTATGTTTTACAACAGAGCATTTCACAAAAGCTTTTTCGATTTCATGGGTTTACGAAGATTTATTAGCACATCCACAGTATAAAGTGGTCATATACGAGAACCAATCAATCCCAAATAGTAGTTTAGAAAAATTTGCGTTTGATGATGCACACACGGTAGATATTCATTTGCCATATTTTAACAAATAAAGAACTTTTTAATAAATCGTCATTTTTACAGGAAACTAGTCGAGTTCCTACACTATCACAAACAAGTTCAGAAGATAATGTAGAATCAAAGTTAACTTCAGTTATAATGCGTACAGCAACTGGACAACCATATGTTTGTCAGATACCTTATGTTGTTAATCAAACTTCGATTGAAGAGGCACCTGAAGATAATAAAGATGTTGATCTTATGAAAAAAGGTTTAGCATCATTAGAGCCATTACAAGACAATTGTCTTTATTATGTAAGTTTGCAAATGATTCCTATTAAAAAAAGGAATTATTGTTGTATATTGAATTTCTGATTAAATTATTTAGTATCATGGATGGTGGACATACGAATACTGTCATCTAAGGTAAATGGATGTCTAATTAATTTTTTTGCTAACACCAACGAATCATAACTATTATAATTTTTTTTTAGTCATGTTAAACAATTCCATACTCAAACCATCCAACCTAATATGAAACCTATTGAGGATAAATCAGTGAATTCATATTTTTTAGGAAGATATGATCCTCGTCATGCAACTTTACCGTCTTCTTATAAGGACAAAAAGGGTTCAAAGAGTCAACAACAGCAATTAGGGACAGATTTACAAGCTGTTGGAGGCAAAAAATACTTGGTGCAAAGATGGAGTGATGGTACAAAATGCGATCTAACAGGAAAACCCCGTAGGGTTGAAATTCAGGTACATTTATTAACTACGGAACAATATGTGTTTAGAGGATTACTTTTTAATTAATATCAAATGAATTTAGTTCCATTGCAGTCAACAACAAAATGATATGATTGCGGTCGTTACGGAAAAGTTTACTTGCCATTATCTCGTGGTTATAAATACGCCAAAATTATGCAATGATCCGGCATTTCTTAGTAAAACTTTAAATAAAATTAATCATATTGAATGTAGGCGAGTTATTTCGGATGAAAAATTCGCACAGTATATGGATAAAGAACGAAAAAGTTTAGAAAGTGGAGAAAATGAAAAAAAAATGAGGTAGTGTCCACCTAATTCTGATATGTAAAATGTAATGTTATGATAACCTTTTTATCATTATTAGCACAGAAAAAGATGATAATCAACATGATGATGAACAAAAAGTTGATATCCGTGATTTTTCGGGACAAGAAACTCAAACGGATAAATTGTTTGATTTTATCTCACAGGTCGCTGAAAATTTAAAGAAGCAAAAAGATGGAGTAATTGAAAGTGATAACGATGCCAGAGAAAAACCAATCCAGATTTATCTTATGGATGAAAATGGACAATTGGCAGTAGTTGATGGAAAAACGAATAATGAAAAAAACGAGCCTAGTTACACGGATTATAAAAGTGTTCTGGAAAGCTTATTAGCGCAAAATATTAAATTTCATTCTAATAAGCCTATCAAAAAGAAAAAATCAGATAATTACCAAAGTCATCAAGCAAAATTAAGTTTAATTTATGAAATGGACTACGAAGATGAAAAAAGTGTTAATTTAGATAATAGTAAAGATGATAAAAAAAAAGAAAAAAATAATTAATAATTGATAAATTTACATAAATACTAAATGAAGCTATTTAATAACGTAAACTTATGTATAATTAGTATTATTTATTTCATGGGGAATTGAGGTTTTTTCCTTTCGGGGGAAAAACCCCTAATGTTCCCCTTCCCATGAAATAAATGGGTAATCCCCTGGAGCGTGTCACTCATTAAATATTAAAATTAAAATTAGTAATCTCCCGGCTACCTATATGAGGCCGGGAAATAAGTAAACGATCATTTATAAACTCAGCTAAATCACTCGCCAGGGGATTACCGTAATTACGTAATTACAAAAAGTTGTATCATGTAAATCATGTGATTTATCCACAAGGCGCAGTAAAACTTTAGATACGTAAAACAAGAGATTAAAATTAAATGGTTCATATTTTCTCGTTTTGTTTGACTTGATAAAGTTAAATGTGAGTACTCTTCGCTTGCATAATTAATACCGGCTGGATACCTTACTAATAACTTATTGCCGGTCTTAACAATAGGACCAGAATAAATTCACAAGCAGGAAGTCGATCCCGTTCTCGGAGCCGTTCTCGTAGTCCACGCTCGCTTTCAGGATCGCGTTCTAGAAGTCGTTCTTATTCTTCTTATTCCTCAAGAAGCCGGTCACGATCCTACTCTAGAAGTCGATCGCGATCTTTATCGTACTCACGTAGTCGTTCCCGTTCACCTTATTCACGCAGACGGCGTTCTTTATCTCCACTTCCTACGAAGATTATGGTCAATAAGTTGACAAAAAATGTTACGGATGCACATTTACAAGAAATATTTGGTGCATTTGGACGAATTCATCGTGTGGAAATGGCTCTTGATGATAAATGCAAGTATTATAATTTACTTTTTTTCGTACATGATTGATTTTTAACCTAACCTTTTTTTACGATCTTTACTTATAGGGCAAACGAACAAAGGAATAGCTTATATTGATTATGAAACTAGGGCTGAAGCAGAAAGAGCTATTAGTTATATGGATGGAGTACGTATGGACTTAATTACAAAGAACAAATGCATTAATTAACATTTCTGAATCATTTATTTATTTAAATTTTTTTTTTTTTTTGTATAAGGGTCAACTGGACGGCTCATTATTGTCTTGTACATTCGTGCCTCGTCGGCCGCTTTCTCCATTACCACCTAGACGCAGAGGTATTGTAATAAGTAAAAATATCGATGTATGGTTAATAGATCTCATTTCTAGAAATATTTCTAATTTTCTTAGGTGGAAGATTTAATTCATCACCTCCACGCCGTTTTATGGCGAGTAGTTATCGCGCTCGGGGCAGATCTCCATTGCGTCGCTATTCAAGATCCAGATCAAGAACACCAATTCGTCGAAGGCGTTCATATTCATACAGTTCATATAGTTCACGGAGTAGATCAAGATCACCCTATTCCAGAAGTCGAAGTAGAAGTTACTCACCAAGAAGCCGATCGAGAAGCCGCAGTCGAAGCAGAAGCCGTAGTCGTCATTGAGATTCTATGACTCAGACATTTATCTTCTTTTTTCTTTCTTTTTTTTCAATTACACAATATTTTTTTTTGTTTGTTTGTTCTTTTGGTTTTTTATTTGTCTATGCTAAAAAAAAAAAATTTCGAAAGTTTATAACCCTTTTCTTTCCTGTTATAACCTATATACTTACTTAATACTTGATTCTAGGAACTTTGATTTACCGTGTGTATGAAAACTGGAGAATCGATGATAGATTATTTGTGTAAATGGTTACTTTCCTGCACACTATCAGAATTTCAATTTGAAAAAACGTTATGCAATTATTAAAAAATATTTTTTAATCTTTCCAGAGATTTCTGTAAAATTTCCGAGTTTTTTTTTTTAAACATTAAAGAACCAGCGCAGTTTGAATTAACTAAGAATCAATGTAAGTTCATTTTGTTCATTTATTTGTGTAATTGATTTTAGCGGATGAATGTTACTAATTTTTGATTGATTTTGTGTAGAAATTTATTTTATTTTTTTTTTTAAGATAGGAACTTAATACAGGCAATGTTTATTTTTATATATTTATTGTACTCGTGCAATAATATTTCTTTTTTTTTTAAAAAAAAAATAAAATAAAAAAAATAAAATAAAAAATGAAATATTTAATAATAGTTGATTTCTTTGGGATTTTATTGTTTCTAAATATATTTGTGACTTTCGAAGGATTATGCAGTTATTGTGATAGTTTTACGTATTTAATTTCCGTATTATAAATAACTTATATAATATTAATGATTCTACATTAAAATACTTTTAAATAACTTTTGATTCGTTTCTTACTCTAATTTCGTATTGTCCGGTTAAAGATCCTTATAAAGAAAAAGTTCATTCTTTTAACTCTATTTCAGATGAATTATGATCTCTAAGTTCTACTATACTGTAAGCACCGCCTTTTTTATCGAATTTTTCTACATGAGCACTTTCCAATCTAAAAAAAATCCATAACCAACGTCGCATAACCTCTAAGAGTTCCATTAAAAAAACACCACCTTCCAATTGATGTATAATATGTAAATGAGATGATAGTTTCAAAGACCACGTAAATCTAAGTAAAAAATCTATAAATATTGCTACATAATATATAAAACTTTCATTGAAGTGCAAATTCGATCGAAGTTGTAAACCAGGTATTAAAGTGCCTGGATATGCTGGTGAAAAGAAATCTAGTTTCCAATCCATTACAACATCCCAGTAAAAAGAATACATAGAATTAAAAGCTACTGATATTATCCTAATAATATTAAAATATATCTTTAAATTTAATCAAATTAAGAAAGAAATATTAAACCAAATCAAAAATTATATATTTACCATAATCTAAATAAAGTGGAATGAGAAATCCATACAATTGATTGAGCTGTAAGAGCTTCATATTTATACCATTTTTGTAATACTGAAAATAATATGACGGGAAATGCTGAAGCGTATTTAAAAGCATTAAATAAATGACGTTTGTCGTTACGATTAGATCCGATATATTCTGTCATACACTGCTTAAACCTAATAACGTATGGAATGCTTTTCAAAAGAGTGTAAAATATCAGCTATAAAATGCGTTACGTGTAAACCGAGCGTGGCATAAATTTAATTACCTAGTAAACAAAGGAGCTATTATATAATTCCAACCTCTATTTCCTACGTAAACTTCATCACAATGTAATAAAATACGTCCTGTGGCATATAAATCGCCAAAAACTTTGGCAAAACTAGTTAAAATATCTGCCATTATTACGTCTGCAAGAGGTATATCGCTACTAAAAGAAAACACAATTCTTCGAATACACCTATTTGAGAATAATGTTAGAAAATTAAGTATATAAAGATTTTTTAAAACAATTGGAAGCGTTAACTGACCGCAAAAATCTCATTCTTTCTTTTTTCCTACAACAATTGAAGGGGCATATTATGATGGCAAAAACGATAACATAACAAACTAAAGGAATTGAAGTCCATTCTATTATTTCTGTTTCAACACCACCAGTTACTTGCCAAAAGATAACTAAATTTAACCCAATCCAAGACGTAAATATGAATGCTAAATTATAAATGGCTTTATGAGAAGAAGGAGTATTATTATTTTTATCTAAAAGATGTGGAACGTCTATAGAAAGCCAAGAAAGTATTTGCAAATTAGAACCCCATGCCCAAAGGCCTATTACGGAAATAATGAGCACACGATAAGGCAAAGGAAAAGTATTTGAAAAGTTCCACTCTATGGTGGACATTTTGGTTTTTTTATTTGTTTATCGTAGAGCCATGTATTTTAATGTAGAGGCTGCCAAGAATATCATCTATTTACAACTAAATTAATTATAATGATCTAAAAATATCTCAATTTCAATTATTTCATTATTTCAATTATACTAATTTCTAAATACGATGCATATGTATTCGTGCAACCGCCGATCTCAAACACGTACGATAATTACGAAAATTAACTTTGTAGATTAAAATATTATAAATATTATTAAAGTCATCTATGAATTAGCAATAATCACTTTATACTTTTACAAGAATAACTGTACAACAAAAGGGAGTGTTAAATTACCCTGCAATTATTGATATTCTTAACCTACTAAGTGTGAAAAATTATAATAGTATATATCATTAAAATCTTATAATTGTCCTTATTGTTCTCAGTCTTCTTCGGAATCTGTTGAGTCATCATTTAATTGTGTTAATCCTAAGTTTTCTAAGCGATTTTCTTCATCAAAAGCATTGAATAAAGTCGCATCTCTCGTTCTCATTAAAGAATCGCGTCCTTCTCCCGATATTGATGATCTTAAAATCCCAGTTCCAGTTTGCATTGATCTAAGTCCATCATTTTTTGCTGTATTTAATAAATATACTCCCGCAAATATTGTAAGGAATCCACAAAATAAGCTAACAACATTCATACTCTCTGTATTAAATCCTCGAAAAAGAAGAACTGATGCGAAAATCGTTGATGTTGTAAAAAATACGTAATATATAGGATTTACTCTAACGAGAGAAAAAGAAGAAAAAGTAGATAAATTACTTAATTCCTATGTAAACTTTTTAAAACATTATGAATTATTACTTACATATTAGTTTCAAATTGATCTAAAGCTTTGTTAAAATAATTCATTTGTATTAATATGCAAAGAGTAGATATGATGATAAACACATACGTTGATGGATGAGTTAATTGATTATTGCCTGCAAAAGTGAGCTTTAATGCAATGCCAAATCCTTTACAAGACATCACTGATATTGATCCAACTAATGAACAAATTGAAAGATACACCAAGGGATCTTTTCTGCCATATTTAGGTACAATATGATATATAGCAAAAACCGTATAACAACCGACTATTACAATATAAATTAAAAATCCTATATAGTTTTTTTTAAGAAAAAGAAAAATTTAATTAAGTTGTCCGAAAAAAAAATATATTTAATTAATTAAAAATAAAAAACAGTCGATATACCAGGTTTAAGGGCAAATTGTAAAATTTGGTCGACAGTTTTAATTTCTTTATCTTCAGGTGAGTGAAGCACTATCATGATAGATCCGATTAAACATAACCCACAACCAACTGTTCCTATTCGCCCAAGACTCTCTTTAAGAAAGAATGATGCCAAAACAGCTCTGTTATATAAAATTTTTAATTAAGATATCGATCATATGTATATGAAAGTATTCAACTTTCTACACTTACCCAATCAAAACACTAAGAGCACCAAGAGGTGTTACAAGTATGGCAGGCGCAAAGGAGTATGCCGCAAAATTTAACAATTCTCCAAAAACCACTATTTAATTAAAATTAATTGTTTCGTTTATATATTATTTCTATTCTTAAATATAATATAGTCAATGAACCTACTTGTTGCCATTCCTAACCACCAAATTGGGTTTTTTAAATAACTATGATCATCACCAGCGAACCCTACAGGTAAATAAAAAATTTAAAACACTTGTAGCATATAAAACAATTTTTGGAAAGAAAAATATCTTTTAAAAACTACCATGTCTATCGTTTGCATCTATTAGTCCCTTTTTTGTTATAATAAAAGACGTGCCAATCAGCAGACTGGAGGCGACGGCTAACGTCAACCCAATGTATTTATCGTTTATGCTCATTCGTTGACACTTATATGTGAAGTTCAAATTGCAAAAAAAAAGAACGATTTGTCTATAGACACGTCGGTTTTTTAGAAAATGTCGCCAGGACAAGTAATATGGAAATTGTAGAAAAGCAATTTGAACAGGCTCAAAAAACTATATAGATCAAGTAAGGCGATGTAAAAGAATGTTGTTATATTTCCCTATTAGATTAACGGGAATAAATGGTATGACTGCAAGGTAAATAAACCGGGTGCGTAGATACAGCTCCGGTAAATAATCTGATCGTTATAATTTTTAAGGAAGAGGACTCTTCCTATAACAAGTTTAACGAACTTTTAACAGATTTTGAAAAGGAAAATATCTTGACAAAATTGTTTTTTTTTGATTCGTTGAAAGGGCCGAAATTGGCTGCATCCGGCGAATTTGTCAATTTCGGAAATTTTGTCATCGATCTTTGATAAAAAGAAACTACTGTAACAATTTGAAACAAGTTTTTAAACATGTTTGCAATTTATTCATAATATATTTAGAATTTTTAATTAACTGCTAAAATCACATGATTTTGTACTATACATATTTTAACTAGATCTTGTAACACATGAAATTTGTCTATTAGAAAAAAATCTTTAAACGCGTTGAGATAATTTTAATCGCAAGTTCCTTATAAAAATGAGTCGTTTCACCCCATCTAAACCACTCTTTAAAGATAGCAAAGCAATCGATAATTATGTTTTATACAACTTTGGACAAAAGCCAACTTCGGGCCAAATTAAACATTATTGGCTCTCTATTGCAAAAATGTATTTTAGTGTCGAAAATTACAGTATGACCGCTGAATTTCTCTTTAGACTTATATTAATAAGCCCTCAGAATTACGAGGTGAACTCTTGAAACAAGGTCATTTTTATTTTACGTATGAAAATATTCATCGTATATTTACTAACGTATACAGCTGAATAGGCTTTAGAATTACTAGGTACAACATACAGAAAACAAGGACAATTGTCAAACGCATTAGAATATTACGAAAGGTATATAAAAGTTATTCAAAATTGCCGCAACCCTATTAAATTCTTTATGTATTAAAATTAACAATTTTGTACAGAGCTCTTTCCACCCCAAATGCACCACAAACTCTTGCGCATGATGGTAAAATTTCTGTTATCATTCTGGATATATATATATTTTTATTTGTATTAAATATACAATTTTTGAGTTTATTTAATCCATAAGCTGCTGAGCTCTGTATCCAACTAGTGAAGAAACAAAAAGAAGAATCTGAAATTAAAAATTTGATGACAAAAGCTCTATACTGGATAGAAAGGTTCGGCGTCAAACGTAAACTAAAATTCAAAATTAATAATAATTTTTACATGTTTGTTAATTTTTAGGAAACGTTCATTGAATAATAATAAATATGACCCTCAGGCAGTTCAATTGTTGCAAAAAATATATGTTATTTTGGTTCGCCATGCCGAAAAGCAATTAGATAAGCGTTCATGTCTGAAACGTCGAGAGGGAATTCCACCAGGTTTTAATATTTAATTATTTAATTATTGAAACTATTTAAATTTATTTTGTTTACTTACAATAAATATTTCTAATAGTGGTGAACATCAAATGGATTGATGAGTCTGTAAAAGACCTAATCTCATCAGAAGAAACACTTATTGACCCATTATTACATATACTGTTGACCAAGAGTTTGCTTAAAATTCAAGATTATCAACGGTAGAATTGCTCGGTTTTCGATTTTTAATATTTTAAATATATTCCCGAAATCTATTATTAATTATTTAATGATTATTATTCTTATCTTATTATTACTCTTATACTTTGTTAGAGCATGGAAACACGTAATGCAACGGCGGTATAATTTTGTTGATAGTCTAGAATGGAATACTTTTGTCAAAACAACATTTCCAAAGTATAAATTGGAGGCTACTATCGATAATCAAAAGGAGCCTTTACATGAACCCACCGAATTGATATTTTTTGCAAATGATAATGTTGTGAGGTTATCCTTGAATATGAGGTAAATCGTTCGCAAATATTCAATTTTTTTTTTGTTTAATACCACATTATTATTTAATTTAACATAGGTTACCAGAAGAATCTGATAAACTTGTGAATGAATTTTCGGAATTAGTTAAAACTTGGGAAATTCCAAAATCGCAAAACGCTCAGTTATTGGAGAAGTGGACGCGTTTTCAACAGGTTTTTATTATCATCATTTATATTATTGAAATTATTGAAAATTATTATTAATATATGAATCATAATTATTGATCATTCAATAAAGGAGTATCTTTCAAGAAGTTTACGACATGACGGTTACTTCCAATTATATCTTTCCACCTCTGATTTAATACAATTTCAAAATGCTTCCACAATACAAAAAAATCAAGACCACCTAAATGTTGCTTACTTAAAATTCAAGTCATGTTTATATTTCCGGCGTGAAACTTTCCGCGATCCTGCACGTCCGATTAGCCACTTTATTTATCTAATGTGCCAGCGCATTAGCGATGTTTCTCATCAACTTCTTGTTTTATTGCAATGTTTTGATTATTCGTGGTTAAACAAAAAAGAGGAAGCGGATAATATCTTTAGGTTGTGTTCTGAAAATGAAGATAATATTACACAAAATTTCGTTTTGCCTGGTCATAAAAAGTTTCTTAAAATCTTGTACAAAGAAGTTGGCAAAGAAAATCTAACAGAATCGAGTACATTAAAATGGTTATCTAAAATGGCACTCCAAGTGGATAAAATAGCATTTTGTGCCCCATACGACTTGGATAGGTACCTTCTATCTATTTTTTTTTGTACATATTTATATTGCCGCTAATTTAATTTGGTTAAATTATCAGATTCTTAATGGCCGCAACTTGGTATATAGAAAATGGAGAGATTAGAGATCTTCTAAGACATATTTTCCCTAATTTACAAGATTGTCTCAAGGTTTTTTTATTTTTTTTTTATGCAATATAAATTAATATATATAGTTCAATTGTGTTTAAACTTGTTTATTTTAAATAGATAAAAGATCCAGAAAAACCTGCAAATAAGCAAGAGTCGCCTGTAAATGCTTTAGCTTCCTTATTTGAAAATCTATCTACACGTGATCGACTTTTGACTAATTGGGAGAAGTTTTTATCAGAAAGAAATGTTACTACAATGAAAAATTCTATCGTTGAAATTCCAACATTGGTGGACATTGAATTTTTCCTCTTGATTTTATTGATACAAAGGCAATATCATTGTATTATCAGGTTAGGAGCCGAAACTTTAGGTCAAATTTTATATTTGGCATCAAAAGGTTGTTGGAAAGCCAGTACAAACCAGAAAAAGTTTTGGCGAACGTTGCTGTCATTTTACGGGAAGGTATGTAATGAAGACATTAAATCATTATTTAATTTTTAGGAAAGATTAATAAATTTTTTTTTATGTGACAGAATGATCCGGATAAGCGTATTTATACTGGGGATCTGATGTCTAATGAAGAATTTACACAATGTCTTCGAGAAATTCGTGGAGATATCAATATGCAGGATTATGATTATATTGATGATCAAGTCGTGAATTTGCAAAAAGACTTATTTTTAATCATGGCCGTATTATATAAGGTGCGTACATAATATTTCCCTTAAATTAGTATCGATTTGATAAACTAAGATAGCGAATCCCTATATGATGGAAATATAGTCGATGATTACTCATCATCGCAAATCACGATCTGCTGAAGGTCTACGTTGTTTAGAAATCCATCAAGATTGGTCGAAAAAAGTATCTGCTAGCTTTTCGTTATCTGAAAAACTTATTATTTTTGATACCGAAATTGAAGAACCGGGATATCGAATGTGAGCCTATGAATAATTTCTGGGATGATATGATTCATTATATTTATATTATATAACCATCAATATTTTTTAGGTTTATTCCTGATAATAAAGATCCAGGAGCAAACGATTTAACCGAACACTTGTCATCAATATTCAGTCAAGATGAGCTTGTAGTGCAACAAGAAGACGTATCGATTGACGATTTTGATACTATTTTAGAGGAGGATTCTGTGATACACCAGACGGTTATCCCATTCGAAGATAAAAAAGATGGTGATGATGAAAATGTCAAACCTATAATAAAGCGCGTTGTTATTTCAACCGAACCCTTGAAACAAGAAGAGGATATCATTCCAAACGAACTTTCAACCGAACTCTTGAAACAAGAAGAGGATATCATTCCAAACGAACTTTCAACCGAACCCTTGAAACAAGAAGAGGATATCATTCCAAACGAACTTTCAACCGAACCCTTGAAACAAGAAGAGGATATCATTCCAAACGAACTTTCAACCGAACCCTTGAAACAAGAAGAGGATATCATTCCAAACGAACTTTCAACCGAACCCTTGAAACAAAATAAGGATATTATTCCAAACGAAATTACTAACGAAGTAGAGTTAGCTGGTTTTGATGATAATTTAGAGCCAAGTGAGAATTTGGATGAACAATACCCCTCTATGAGTTTCAGTTCAAAGGAAGTTTTTGATATCCAGGATGATGATGATGATGATGATGATGTGGATTTGAGTCAAGACGAAGATTTAATTCAATCTGGTCAAGATATACCCATACATCTAAAACCTTCAGCTGGTGCCGATACCTCGTTCGTATCTTTTGATAATAATCAATTCGAGGAAAATTTGGAAGCAAGTATGATAGAAAATGCAGGTGATGATAATTCTTTCAAAGATAATGCTCCTAAAGTTGACGATGTAAGTTATTTAGAAATTTAATTACACAATAATTTGCATTTATGTATTATTCAATATAATATTTTAATATTTTGCAATTTCAAATTAGTCGCTAAATAATAGTTAATGCACAACAATTTGGATATGATTATTCAAATTATTCAAATATCTCTTATATAGAAACAATAAATTTGCTCTTCTAAATACTGTATAAAGCATAATTTTTTATTTTATTTCTACGGTCTAGCTGCGAAATTAATGATTTTTGGTTTCTATTGCTCTCGATTCTCATAACTTTGTGAAGCTTCCAAGGATTTTTGCATATCCATCCTTTTTTAACTTTTATTAAATCATGAAAATGTTAGCGAAAACGGAATGTTGGCAGAAATTATTTGTATAGCCGCATGTATAGCGAAATAATTCGGGAAAGAGCCCTGTTAAGAATCGAAACTTAAAATGTCTGCTATTCCAATTTTCTTCATTTTATTAAGGGTATTTTTATTGATAAAATAAAGATTATACTTTAAAATTTTAAATTGTTAATCATACTGGACCGTTGTAACCTAGATTATGATAATTGATGTAATTTATTAATTAAAGAGGAAGGGAATTGATTCAAATGAATTTTGAGGGAGTTAGGATAATGGATTTTGTTATGAAGTTTTAAGTGATCCGAATTTCGATTATTAATTAACGCTATTTTTTGTGGATTAAGTAAATTTGTTCCACAAATTGAACAAAAAATTGAGTGTTATATTTTTAAGATATTAATAGAAATTTTAACTATTATTTCAATATACTTTATTTTTTAAATAAATTTATTTTGTTATAATGTATATTGTATTATTACAAATAGTTAAGAAAAATATTTGTTATCTATTAATTGTAATAAATTATTAGATCAAAGAGATCTTGAAATTTACAAGTCATAACGTGCTAATTATTTTTTCACTATGATACTTCGTAATAATACATTAAAGTATAATAAACAAACTATTTTAATGTTGCAATAATAACTAAAATTTCTATTAAAATCTTTTATTTTCAATTTAAATCTCGCAATAATTATACTGAACTAGGAATGGTAAACCACTGGTAAACCATTATCAAGTCCGAAGCGCAGTTACAAACATGATAACACGATAATTTTTTTTCGCATAATTAAATTAAACGTCAATCCAATCGAAGGGAATTTTAAAATTTTAATATCAAATTAAATAATGATATAATTGAATAATGGAAATTTCTTACGGTATTTTCTCGTTTAATGGTTTTTAACTGATAAAGAAAACGAGCATGTTTGATGCTTATGGCATCTTTCGAAGAATGTAATAAATTTTGATAATTTAATTATATACTGTATCAATGCTATTCTCATTTAATATGCATGAAAAAGAAATAACACTATTGAAAAAAAGCTAGCGGTTAAACTACTTAAACAAGATTTGAATCTTTCATCGTAATTTGACATTTACATTTGATAAAGCAGGTGGTTCGTCTTCTTAAAATTAGAACTATTCGATTCATGGTCATGAGTTCAATACTCGAATTTTTTTTTTACTATTAACATGCCAATTCTTACTATAATTGTTCTATTGAAATTTTAACTCTACTATATTAAGTCAAATCTGGACCTAATATTTAATAACCAAAAAGTCCCACATCCGAGATACAGGCTTGGTGGCTTGTTAAAGTCAGCTGATAATAATGATTACATAAAAGATTTCTGCAAAAATTTTTTTCTTTTTTGCAACCCGATTCGCGTTTAAAAATTGGTTTTTAATATGACTTTACCAAGTGAATTACCGTAAGTTTCCTTTCCGTTTGTTTTTTTTTTATCACCGTAGAAATTTGTCTGTTTATATAAATTTAATCTCAGGCTATTATCAAATATTTCAACAGTAAAGACGACCTTGTGGAGAAAACGCAAGGTATTCATTTTATACCGTTTTATAAATAAATTAGTAAATTATTTTTAATTAAATATTACATACTTTAGTTGCTTTATCAAAATTGAATTTAACTGCTGACCAAACTGAGGAATACACGGAAAATTCAAATAGTTTTCTACTGCCACAATACAAAGATATTACTAAGTTTTTAGATGAAGCCACCGATGGTACTGTTAATTGCCTTAATTCGTCTAGGAATGTTTTTTCATATTTGATCTTTGAAACAGAATCATCATCAATATTTTTATGATCTATTTGTAAAAGAATAGAATTCGAAATTGGACAGCTTGTACACCTTGAATCATTTGGATTATATGATGCGATGAGTTCAATTGAGGTTTTCTATCTTGTATTTAATAAATTTATTTATTAAAATTTCGATTTTTAAGAGTTTTGTAATTTATTTAGATAATGGATCCAAAAATGGATAGTGGGATGATATTGGACAGTGATTTAAATAAACCACCATTTAATTTACGTGCCCGTTTAAAGCCTAAGGAAGTTCTTGGAATTATAGATCATTTGTTCAATTGCGAAGTAATTGACTTCATATATTTGTTATATATATCATTATACATAATTTAAACCAATTATATTCGATATATTAGAATAAATAAAGATTATATATATATATTTTTTTTTTTTTTTTTTTTTTTGCTACAGATGACATGGCATTCTGGACATTCCCTATCTCAAACGCTTTTTACCTGCATGTATTTTCATCATGTCTCGGAACTTAATCCAGAATTATTTATTAATAGCCCAAATGATGATTCTACCGATTCCGATTCGCCTATTGAATTTGTGATTTTAGTTTTGAAATCGTATGTTCTTGGCACTATAAAATGTTGTCATTTAGTATGGGATGAGATGACAAAAGGAAATGTATATGAAGTAAGTTATAAATTATCTTAATATGCTTATAAGTAGTTAATTTTATATATTTACTTATTGATTTATCTTTTAAGGAAGAAGATTTTTCTACAAATAAATATGGTATCTCGATGTATGAGAATTTTCCAGACTCGCAATGTATAAAATTAATAGAGGATGCTGAGGCTTGGATGGAACAACATGGTTGTAAGTGGATTCGCCAGAAAGGTATTGTAAATATATCGACATGATAATATTCACTAGGCTATTTCTTTATAGAATTGCAATTATTTATTAAATAGGGCAGCACGACTGTGAGAATGTTATCCGAGCAATTCTTTCGCGTCTTCATTTACGAAAAGTATTTATTATTTCTATGTACATACATGATTGTTGGTAATATCTTTGTTCAGATTTATTCGTTCGGTTTTTTAGGGTTTTTTGTAGCAATATCAGCCCAAAAATTATCAAAGACAATCGATTATTTACGAAATAAAAATAACAATAGAATGCAAAAAAAAAAAACGAACGAACGAATTTGAACATGGCCAATATATATTATGAATATCAATTTTATTTGATGAAAAAAATTTATGAATATTTTTTTTCTATTTATAGTCCTTTCTTTTAGTTCTTTTGCATATGTCGCAGTCACACTGTCAGCAATATTTACAAGCGCAACGGCATCTTAATACGTCAATGCAGTTGTTAAATGGAATTAAAGAAGGAGCAAGCATTAACTGCTTGAACTTAGGAGTTGACGTTTCAGGAGGTATGTGTGTATTTTCGATTGTGTGATGGTAATAATGTTTATACGGTAACTTATTGTTCGAAATGATTAATCTGATTTCTTAATTCCTTAGCTTTTGATCCACTTATTAATAGGAAACTTGTATCTCAAACTCCACCAAGACCAATTCGACTATTAACAATGCAAGAGGTGAATTTTCTAGCCAATGATTAACATTTTTGTTCTTAATATCTTTATATTCAATAATTAAACTTTTACAGTCTATTAATGAAATGATGAATATGCTTAAAAGTATCAATGCTACATGCGAAATTATTAATTACAAATCGGCAACTAGTTTAATGGTAAGAATGAAAATAGAAATTATTTAAAAAGTCTTCTACTGAATAAAGTTTGTATTAGCTAACATTATTTTAGAATTTTTTAGTTTATCATGCTAGTCAGCAACCACCACCTTGTGCGTTTTCAAGGTCAATATTACAAGTATGTACGGGAAAAATTTTATATAATTTATAATTTTTTATTGATAAAGTATCACTAATTCTTTTCAGTCAACTATATGCACTGAGAATCGTATTCTTGGTAAAATGTCGATGTTTCAATTGATAAAAGATTCTGTTACAGAATTGACGAATCCGCCATATGTATACTTTGCACCTAAAATAGACATAAATGCATCATCAAAAGATGATCGTATTGATGAAAATAGGTCCGAAATATCAAAATTGGTTCATAATTTTGTTGATAGCACAGTTAAGGTACAATAATACTTATTGATATTGTATGTTTGTTATAAGATTTGTTTGTATTGATATAAGTTATTACAAAATACTTTAGCCGTTGACAGACCTTTATCGGATTTTGTGTCATAACCGCTCAAGACAACGCCGAAATATGTGTAAAGTTTTGACAGATTGGGATTTGTTACAAGAAGAAGCAAGTGTTTTATTTACATGTTAATGTCAATTTCTTAAAATTTAGCTAAATATTATAATAAATCATTAGGCAGAACATATTGACACAAAACTGCAGTCTTTAACCAACGAGGAGCCTATTATAACAGAAGTATTTATAAATTATTTCTTTAATAGCAATATAAAACAACTTTGAATTAACTTTAAAAATATGTAGGAAGGACCTTCATATTCCTTTCATTTGTCTTCTTGGGTATATCATCGAAAATTAGTATTACTAGAAGACATATTATTTCTCGGATTTGAACTGGATTTGTATGGAACTCATGAATATGTGATGATTTATTGGTTAGTAAAATTATTTTAAATCATATTATTAATATATTATTATATCTATTCTAAAATTTCCATTAAATAAATTTTTAATTTTTATAGGTATATCGATTATTTATTAGGTGTCCATTATCAGCACTTAGAAAGAACTCACATGCATGTTACTGGTAATTTATTTTAAAGATAAGGTTAACTGAATACCAAATAGATATTTACTTCCTTTTTATATTTAGAAAATAAAAAATCAAAGAGCCAACAAGAAAATCTTCGATCAGCGCCGCCTCCAACGTCCACAGTATCACTATTAACTAGTCAACGAATGATGATAATAGCAAAACAAGATATATGTCGGGGAATCCACAGAGTAAGATTTATTATAATTATTTGAATAATTTCAACAAATTAATAAGGTAAATTCTATTAAAGACCGTATCGGCACTTCGGAAAACTGGACACGCAATATTTTCATGTCTCGAGTTTGATGACGAAAGCACTAGGTTTTGGCATAGATTTAGAATGTATAGGACATTAGGAAGTCCAACAATACTGTCTTATAAGGATTTCAAAGATATGACTCAATTTGATAACATTACGGTATGTAATTAAAGTGTTGAATTTTTTATCATATATAGAATAGATTAATTTATATTGTATATCTTTCAGGCAATGGATCTTTTCAACGTGTCTTTGCAAAATTTTCAGGCAGCTAGATCTTCAATAGAGAGATTGTTAGCAATGAAACCTCCAGAACTAAGGACGGATCTTTGTCATGCTGATTTCACAAAGGTAATAATTAATGGAGTTGGGAATTACTTAAATATACCACCATTAAAAACTTTACTTCTAACCTAATTTAGGAATTACAAGCTATGCTGCGCGTATGTATTGCAAATATAGTGAGTCTGCATAAAATTATTGAAGAATGTAAACCTAAGCTTGAGCCAAATACCATTCAAGAAAATGAAATTGTTACAACTAGCCATAAACAACAAAAACAGAAACAACGACAGAAAAATAAGAAATCATTAACCTCCCCCTCTGTTCCACCATCATCATCATCAATACAAACGCAAAAATTGATTTCATTGCGGAAGGATAATAAAGTAGCAAACTTTGAATTTAAGTATCATCCTTGGTATCCAGTAATTACATTAAAATAATTAAAATAAAATACGTTATATATTCATAAAGACACACTGAAATAAATATTTAAAGTAGACGTGTGAAATTATAAATGCTTATTCGCTTTAATTACTTAAGATAGTCACTTTTTGCTGAAAATAAATTAAAAATTATTTATTTATTTCCTCCTGAGTTGTAAAGTAATAAAAAATTAAAAAAAATATTAATAAAATAATCCAAATATTTAGTCGATTATGTTTTCTGACAGAAGAATTTCGACGCGACCGACTACGCATTTGACTATCAACATTAGTGTATCGTAATTTTGTATCATGTAAAAAATCTTTATGATAGTTATGATAGTCTTCAAGATCATCATCATCATCATCATCATCTAAACAGTTATACTCATTCTTCAATTTTCCAAATCTTTCACGTAGACCAATAGGCCATTTCCGTGGCAACAAATTCCATGTACGAAATGTTTCCAGATTTACAAGACGTTGTTCAATAATGTCTAAAGATATTTTTCTATTATTAAGTAAATCACCATCAAAACATAATCTAATAAGTCCCGGAGAATACATAGTTAAACATCTAATAACAGCATCTGTTATATAACTCGATTCAAGAGCTAATAAATTGTTTTTACAAATTGATATCAAATTCATGAGTTCTTGTTCATGTTTATTTCGGGAAGGTAAATGATTTAGTACATTTGTTTGTTTTAACCTTTTACAATGAAAAATTAATTAATTAACATAAAATAAATAAATGAATAAATTTTTTTTAAAAAAAAAACATACCATAAATGTCGAGATGTATAATGATCAGCAATTAAGGGTAATAGATTGGAAGTAAAATACAAATTAAGTCCTGAAATATCTAATTTTTCTAAATTAGGAGTACTACATAACATTCGTTTCCAGCCAGCAAGAGTGAAACACTCTGTAACAGGACAATCACATTCCGAAATGAAAGAGAGTGATCTCAAAGTATTTGAGAGGGCACACAAACCATCCAAAGTAGCATCAGTTATCTCAATATAATCGTCTACGTATTTTCTTTCTAAAACTAATTCTTGTAAACATGAACAATTATTAAATAGTTCTAATACCCAAACATCAGACAAACCTTCAAAAGATAAATGGGCTCTTGTGATCTGAGAACCATATCTTTCGGTATAATGATTTAAACAGAATACTGATTGAATGACTGCATGTATTAACAATCCCAAATCTGATGAATCCAAATTATTTCCTTTAAATGAAGGAAAATAAATTGGCGCCAAAAAAGTAATTAACTGTGCAGAGCAAGTTAATTTCAAAGATTTTGATCGATTTTTACGAAGACTTTGACTGAAACAGGGTGGATTAAATTCTAACAGTCCGGGTGTTTGTTCTAACACAATAATATTAAAATTTTCGAGTCGATCACAATAATCGTCTAGTATTATCAATAATGCACCAAGCTGATCAATAAACTCTTGAGAAGCTCGACCTTGAATATTCAAGGTTCCAAAATATTGTCCATACTTTGGAACTATCGTCTGTAAAAAGAAAGGTGAGATATTGTAAACAATTACAGTTTTGAAAAGATAAGTAGGGGTAAGAGAATATAAGGAACGATTAGTAAGGGAAAGTTGTTTAAGATGTGCAGAACCAAGATAAGAAATAATTTGAAAGAGTGTTTCAGTAGGAAGTGTAAGGAGAGACGCTCTTGGTTTTGTCATCGTAAAAAAATTTTTGAGTTGAAAATATTAAGTAAAAATCTAAGTAATAAAAATTCGAGAATGGCTTTTTTAGTTTTTTCATTGATTCATTGTTTGTTTTCTTGAAACGTAACACCAGCCACCAAATATTTGTATGGCCACAGAAATCGATTCGTTATGATTTCGCGTCTTTAAAACTTGAACCTAAGCTTCAAAAAACATGTCTGTTAATAGGTAACACTTTTTCACTTTATCATATACTTTATCGAGCGATTTGTCAATAAAACTCGATTGAATTTCCTTTAGTTTGTCAACTTCAAATCCCAAAGAACAAGAACAGAAATTCCTTAATGATCATGAAACTCAAGTGTTATATGAACTTCGTGGCATTTTGAATGCTATCGAATCAATGTAATAAATTTATGTATATTTATTTATTTGTTTGTTTGTTTATTAAGGACAAAATTTTTTTTTTTATTTATAATTTAGAAATCGAACAATATTAGATGCGATTCAATTAACTTCATCTGGCGGAAGACTTTATGAAGCACAACAACGTTCAAATACTGGGTTGGATGACTTTAAGAAATTAATTAGCAAATAAATAAATATATTCATTCAGTTTTCCGGTTAACCGATTTAAACAAAAAGCGAATTGGTTAGTTATAAATTGCAACTCAACCTAAAAAGAGTTAGCAAAGAAGCGAAAATTCGGTTTCTTTTATAGGTGCTGTTCTTCCAAATATGGAAAATTAACTTATAAATAGTTTGAGCATTATACATAGTATGATTTTTTCAAGAAATATCCGAGAGTATTATTTGACAATATAAAAATATAAAAGTGAAATTATTAAAGGCTTATAATAAAAGAATTTTGTTTTGCGAGATTATATGTAGAAACTTCATAGTAAATGACTGAAACTAAATACTGACCAACATTTAATATTACAGATAAATATTTAATACTAATTTTTTGTAATTTTTAATTTAATAAAATGAAGCAAATTTTTGTCAGAAATATTTCATATTTATAGGTATTATAGGTATAATAAATAACTATTTTAACTTTTCATATTTTGTTACATTTATTCAAATTTAAATCATATCAAAACAAATCAAATGGTGGCAATTTTATAGTAACAATAAAAATATTAGGTTCCCAAACATCTCTTATCTATATTAGATAAAAATATTATATTTCATAAATATTAATGTTAGAAAAATAAAATTATTACTATTAGATCCTTTTTATTAAAATCAGATTATTTAAGAAAATGCATATATAGAATATCATAGGACTCAAAAATATATATAGGTGATGAAAACCTTTTTGCATTTCTGAAATCTGTGACAGGTTATTGTCAATCAATAATATAATAGGAAGGAAATAGAAAGGAGTGATGTTTACATGTCACCTGATCACATGCAGCCATGAGTTCAAAAACACTAAGTATCTGAGGAACAGAGAATTTTTTTCATGCCAAAAATTTATTTGTCACCCATTATCTATCACCATGATCGGCATAACTTGTCACAGATTTCAGAGGTGCAAACTTTTTATATACATATTTTTTCAGGGCCGTAATTATGATAATATCAGTTAGTTACTATAATAGAAAATAAAATTCTGACTAGTATTATTAAAAATTATCTAAAAAAGAAAAGATTTTTATGATTTTTTTAGTTCAAAATATGCAAACTCAAATATGATCTTTTTATATTTCTGGATTTTTATAGAATAAAAGCCTTTAAAAATATTTAGAGCAAATTAAATTAAATAGTGTTTCAATACTTATTACATTAGTTTATTTATAAACTTTTCAAAAAATTGAGATGAATTCTGATATTTCTATAAATATTTAGAAATGAAAGGAGATTGAAATGAACTAAATACATCTTTCATATAAGAATTATTAATTTTTCTTTTCTCTTTCTCTTTTTTTTTTTCTTTTTTTCACACTTTTCTCTTTTTTTTTTCTTTTTCTTTTTCTTCTCGGAATCTTTTAATAATAGTGCAAAAAAACTTTATTTAATGTAAAATAAATGTGCAATACTTATGTATTTAATAAATACATTTATATAATTATATAATATATAAGGGGAGTTACATATATTATGTAATATTCAGTTTATCGCTATTTTCGATTTAGTTGAAACTGATTAAATTATAAATAAAAATAATAAAATACTGAAAACACTTACATCACATATTGATCAACAATGATCAGCCAATGAAATTTAAACACATAATAATTTACTGAATAAAAAAATTATTTTTTGTGTTTAAACGTTTAAAAAAAAAAATTTTAACATTATGCTTTTTACAACCTTACAATAATTAGAAAATTTCACCAACCATTTAAAAACAATAATTACTACTTTATAATATTTTGATTATCTGTAATTTGATTTGAATAATTTTTTATTTAAAAATTTAAAATTTATATAATTATAATGATTTTTTTTAAAAAAAAAAATCAAAATCTTAGTGTTCTGTTAATTTATAATTTAAATAATTTTTTAATTTTTGAAAAAAACAAATCTTTTTCTAATCATAGTCCAAAAATTGCCCTAACTCAAGTACCCGCATTTATCTAGCTATAGATATAAATATTTATCTCTAGCTGTATATAAAAATATCTTGTTTATCCAACAAGATCTATAATAAAGTGAATAAAAATAAAAAACAGTAATTATTACTTACTAATATTATACAGTATAGCCAATATAATAATAAACTTAGTTTACCTTTAAAATAATATTAAACTTTGCAATCTAAAATACTGGCAAATACTTTATTATTATTTAATAAGTATTTTCAGTTAAATACTCCAGTTAAATAAAAAAAAATAATAATATTTAGTGTGAAGTTACAGTTTTCAGTGAGGGACTGCTATTATACTCCCATTTAATATATTCAGTTAGAGTTGAATCGCTAGTAATCTCCCATTAAAACATTACAAAAATAAAAAAAAATAATAAAAATAATACAGGAGTGGCTTAGCATGATGCGTCAATCAAAATATTTTATATGTTCATATGTGAAACGTGATGCTTTATTAGTACAGTTTCACAAAATTATGAGTTTTCAGTCTTTTTATTATAATTGATCGACAAGCTGCAGTTTCAACCAAATTGAAAATGGTAATAATATAAACTTACTCCTTCCCCCTCTTGTTAGATTTAATAATCAATCAAATTATAATATTTATAAATTATATATTTTATTAAATATAACATAAGATTTTGGTTACCTCTTTCCCCCTTTTATAATTACGTAATATCTGTAAGCTCCCTAAATTATTAAATTTTTTAAAATTTTTAAAAAAATTATTCTTCAATAAATATTAAGTTTAATTAACAAACAATAGGTAAATCATATAATGATTAGTAGTAATTTGCATATTTTTTCCAATTATTTAAAGTAAAAAGGTAATTTTGCATACTGAACTTATAAAAAACTTTTGTGTATTATTAGTAAAAAGTTTAAAAGTTACCTTACTTTTTTATATATATTTTGAGATCTTATTGTAGATATATGACAGAATATAAACTGCAGTAAAATAATAAGTAATATAATATAACATAAAACTACTATTGTTTAAATAAAGTGAAGAATAACAATTTTTTATTCTTTATAATGTAATACTCATCAAATATTTACATAAACAGGTAAATTATAGCATAATTAATACTAATCAAAAAACTGCTAACTGCATAAATACAAATTAAACAATAAACAAATAAATACAGGAAGTTAATAATTTATTAATTTATTAATAAAAATAATAAACAAATGATACTGGTGGTAAACACTAATGGTTTTTTATAGCCGTAATTTTCTTTTTTGTCAAAAAATAAAAATTCTGTTATGTATTATAACTCATCATCTACTGATTGTATAAGAACATAATTTAGCTTATTAGAATTATCTAAATGATGAGATGAGTTAAATAATAATAAGATCATATCTCTAGTATTGATAAATAAAAAGATAATTCATGCTAAACATTTTTAGAAAATCAGCATTAAAAAAACATGCATCAATCATTATAAAGGTTTAATATTAAGTTTATATTTATTGAATACAATTATTTAATTAAGGCCTGACCAATTAGATTCTACGGTTTACATAACCCCCCTGTTTTTTATGATTATCGCCTGATATTATACAATATATGCAACTAATAATAATACGTAATTTGCTAGTCACATGATATCGTGATTTAAAAATCGTCAGCAGATTAGCAGATTATCAGTTGTCATATTCTGCTTTTTTTCACACAAAGTATTTCTATAATAGAATTATTTCTCGTTATTCTTTTAAATTTATATCTTAAAAACATGGCAAAGTATCTAGTAACTGTACTAAAAACCTTTATAAATGTACAAACAACATGTTATATCTTGTAGTAATAGTTACTGAAGGTATTATTAAATGTGTAATACCTGAGCGAATAATTACAATTACAGAAAATGAACAGTTTTCAGAATTGTATGAAATATTTACTTCTGGACAATTTAATAATCAAAATGTTAAAGTTTATGTTCGTCAAAATAGAGTTAACAAATGGGTAGAAGTAAGCGATGGGTTAAATAGTGATCTTAAAATTATGGAAGTTTTAGGATATAATCATGTAAATTTTTCGCTTATCACAGAATCTATAAGATAAATAGATCTGGTTAATTTTTCTGATGCATTTAATATTATGATGAGAAATGCACGACAACTAAAACTCCCATAGCATCATACTGAACATACTAGACGTGATTTATTATATAATGAGATTATTGATCTTTTACGTAATCAAAAAGCTGGTTGGAAAGGAGGTGTTCACCAAACTTTAGGAAAGGAGTTTGTAGAGCGTATTGCAAATGCTATTTGGTATATTGATCCACATTTAAAATTATTACAATCTCATTTTTGCCATATTCCTGTGCTCTTTAAAGAATTAGCAACATATGCAAATGATGATCCTGATATAAATACATACGGCAGTTTCATCAGTTCTTATTTAAACTGAAAAAAAATTGCATCAAACTAACTTATTCAAAGCTTTAGTATTAGCCAAACTCTTTTCCATCATCTTTAATGTTTTATCTTTTACCTTCTGTTTCTTGTTACTTAAACCAATCTTCTGTAAATCCTTATAAACTGTATTTTTTACTTCTAGTTATAGCCATTTCTTAGTAGTTTATTACAACTTTTAGATAGTTATAAAGAAAATATTGCATCCAAATACCTTTATATTCTTGTAAGATGATTTTTATATCAGTAATTTTATTCAAATCAGCCAAATCAATCTAATTTTTAAAATACATAATTAATTTACAGTACGCATATTCTTTTCTTAAACTACCTTTGAATACTTTACACCTTGTTGGTACAATTAAAGATTGAAAAGGTTTTTAAAATATAATAATAAAGTAATTATAGTTTCAGTAATATTTTTAACTATAGTTTAAAATCATTTTCATTCCTTTTATTATTGAAGATTCCAGATAACTGGATACTATCAGACAGAAAGATTATTTAAAGGAGTAATTTAAATTCCTTGATCCTATAGTTTTATTACTATTTGTTAAAGTTAATAGATACATTGATTGTTATATATTTCTTTTGACTCTTAATCTTTATAGTGATTATGTGATCCTATTTCTTAAGATTCAAAAAAATTTTAAGTTAAGATTAAGTAAAAAAGACATCATTTAAAATTTTAATTTATGATTGAAAGATTATAGTCAGTTATAATAAAAAATTTATTTTTCTAGAACATACTATTATTTCTTTTTAATTAGCTGAATCTTGCTAACTAATACCATATACTTATCTGCATTTTTATTCATTCTTTTATTATTAAAAAAAGTTAGAAAGGTAGGCTTATTGCTATTGCTATTTATATTTAAATTTCTAAAAGTCATTTCTGCAAAGGTTATAGTTCATTTTTTTTCTTTTGAATATAGGATGTGACTTTGGCATTAAGTTTTATAAAACTTTTTTTGGAATTTTTTGTTAAAGAAATTAGTTGCACATTATCTGATTGGTGTTCAGTATTATCAATAATTTTCAAATCCATCAGTATCACTTCATCTGATACTGGTGTATTATTAGTATATTTGTTGAAGTTGATGCTGCAATTTATTTTAAATTGTTTACTACTATGAGTTTTTCTTTTAAAGTAGCTTCGTAATCTTTGGTAACTGAAAGACAGAGATAATAAACAACAAATAGTTAAATTGTAATAAATTATTCAAATAGCTAAACAAACTATAATTGTTAAGAAATGCCAGTTTTGCTAAACTGTTAAAAGTGTTTGAGGCTAAGGATGGGTCCGCAAATGATTTTCAAATTCCGCAATATTGCGGAATTTAGTGTTGAATTGCGGTTAGTAATCCGTAATTTCGCAATTCTGATTGGCTGCCCGGAACTGTGTTTTTTTGCAATCTTATATAATATATAAAAATGCCGGAACTATTAGTTTCAGTGGTTTTATTTTTATTTTTTATATAAGATATGCCGGAACTATTAGTTCCGGCGTTTTTTTTTAATTTTTATATAAAATATGCCGGAACTATTAGTTCCGGCGTTTTTTTTTTGATTTTTTATATAAAGTATGCCGG